CAGATGGTCCTCAGTATGGGTTGAGTACAATACTTGTGAGGAACTGAGAGAGCCTGGAGCCCTGCTGGGTGCAAGAGGCTGCACCCAGCCCAGGGCCCAGGGAACAGCAGCAGGGCTGAGACCTTGTGCAGTACAGCATCGGCGCTGCAGCAGAGGCCGATAGCTGTGCCCACAGGACCTGGGCAGTGACTGTGGCCCCAGATCACAGGCACTGTCTGTGGTCAGTGCTGGCAGTGGGGCTCAGGCTGCTGACTAGTGGAGTCTCAGCCTTGGACATATACACCCCAAAAGAAATCTATATGGCCCACCTACTCAAGGGAAGCTGACAGCATGTTCAATCTACAGATGAGACCAACCCATTGGCCTTAGTCTCCTGGAGCTTTCAGCCAGAGCTGACCCACACTACCGTGTTGTTTCCAACTACTGCCAAGGCCAAGTGTGTCCTGGGAATTGCCCTCCCTTTCAGGACAGAATCATATGGGCTGCAGAGATCAGCAAGAAAGACACATAAATCAGCATGGAAAGCATGCAGTTTATCCACAATGGCCCCTGCACCTGTGACGCCAAAGCCCTCCTGACCCCATCACCCGGCGAGGACACATTTGGCTCTACCTTGGGGAGAAAGTGGTTTGGCCCGAGTCTCAGTGTGGGATGGTGGTGGGCATAGTGACAGCTGTGGTCGGGGGTCTCTCCCTGGTCATCACTGTGACTCTCGCTGTCCTCTACGAAAAGAAGAGCCCTAAAGGGGATGACACTGGCTGTAGCCCCTCAGAGAAGATGTCACTGGTTAAGTTGGCTCACAGAAGCCCCCCTCTGACACAGGGGGTCTGGTATAGAGCCTGACTCATGCACCTCTCCAGATGCCAGGTATGTGTGTGCAGTTAGATGACCCCGAGGACATCACAGTGACGGGATCAACATGTCCAAGTCCGCAGTGTATGTGGACTTCTGGAAAACTGAGAAGACCCAGATTGTACCTGAAGCAAGAAACAATGACAAACTGGGCTCTGGTGCAGAGACATGGGCAAAAGCAACAGGGGGCCTCAGACGAGGACAATGAGAGAGAGGGAGATGTGGACAAAGGCCGTGTGTGAATATTCTATTTACTCTTCTGATGTGAGGAGCCAGTGGTGAGTGATGAAGACCTGGTGTGAGTCTATGTATATAAATTATATGACTACTTTTTGTACTTTTTTGCATTCAGGGTCATGTATAGTGGGACAAATTCAACAGCATTCCTGTCTCCATCCTTAAGTATGATGTGCCTTCATGGAGACGTAGAGACCCTTTTGTATCCCAGAGAGACACGGCCTTTTTTCCCAAGGTCAGAACCAGTCTTAGCTCTGATTGTAGCTGCAGGGTAAAGACACTATGGGGGACAGATACCCAGGATGGCTGTCACCCCTTGTCCCCTCTGACTCTTTGGTTGTACTTCTTAGGAAACGCCTATTAGCTATGCCACATGCAGACAAGGTGGGAAGTTTTTATTGATGGTTTTTCTCTCTCGAAGTCACAGGGAAGTTTTGCTTTCCCTCTGGTGTACATGGACTTGAATGTTACACCCCTTCCATGTTAGCCTGTGCCTTCATCAGAGCAGCATGAGCCTGGATGACTGCCAGAGGTCACATTGTCCTCGGGCCTTTTAGACCAATGATGTTTCCATGTCCTTGCAAGAGAAAAACTGAGGTCTTGCTTGAGGAGAGGGACAGGTATCTGCTAAATTATTTTTTCTGAAGATTTTATTTATTTATTTTTAGGGTAGGGAAGGGAGAGAGAAAGAGAGGGAGAGAAACAACAGTGGGTGGTGGCCTCTCATGCGCCCCCACTGGATACCTGCCCACAACCCAGGCATGTGCTCTGAGTGGGATTTGAACTGGTGACCCTTTGGTTCACAAACTGGCACTCATCCACTCAGCCACACCAGCAGGGGCTGTGATAGTCTTTCCAGCATCCTTCTTGCTGGAAATGAGAGTCCCCACACAGTCACAGGAACAGAGGTTCACTTCCTTCTAACTCTGCAGGAACTCTTCCTTCTAAGTGGCCTGTCTGCAGGACCCCGGAGCGCTCTCTGGGGAATGATCTTCCTTCTGAAGCTTCAGTCTCAGCTTCATGGTGACCTCAGGGTCCCCTGATGTTAAAGACAGGCTAGATTTTTAGGTCAGGAAGTGGGGCCAGGACTTGTACTTTGGGAATCTCTCCTCTGTGCCTGTCTGGCTTTTTTGTTGGTTCATTTTCCACAGTTTTCCCTGCACACGGAACTGATGAAGGAGGAGATGAGGAAGTGTCTAGACAATTCCCACATCCTCCCCAACATCTCATTCTGCCCCCGGTAGCCCCGCCCCATCACAAACCTGTGCTTTCTGTCTTCACTGAGAGTGAAAGCAAAGGGGGATCAGTAAACACGTATTTATATCTGCCATCCATGAGGCCCTTGGGTTAGTTTTTACTAAAGTAGTTTTTTCTACTTTAAAATGACGCAAAAACCTCACAGTTACATGGCGATCCCAGGACTGCTTTGAGGAAGGGGAAGTGATTGGCAGTGTCCACTTCTCTCCCCTTTAGTTTGGGGACTGTCCCCAGATGCTCCCTTTTCCTTCCTGGTATCCATCCTCTTTGGAGGGAGGCTGGGGGCTGAGTTCCAAGACAATTCTTTGAGGAATAAAGCAGCATTTGGAATTCAAGCTGTTTCCAGGTGAGCTTCAAACCTCCCACAGATGTGACCAATTCTATTCTCAGTCAGGGCATATACCTGGGTTGCAGGCTAGGACCCAGTAGGGGCCATGTGAGAGGCAACTATGTATTAATGTTTCTCTCCCTTTCTATCTCCTTTCCCTTCTCTCTAAAAATAAATAAGTAAACTCTTTTAAAACAATAAAATAAACTAAAATCTGCTTCTTGACCCTTATAGTAGATTAAGAGAACCAAGGCTCATTTGAAATGGTGAGGAGAATTTTTTCCATACTGACTCTCTCTCGAGGTGAAGCCAAATTGAAATGTAGAGGGGTGAGTGATTGCTGGCTTTCCCACCTGTGTGAGATTCTGTACCTACAGAGACACCCTACAGAACAGGGGAAGATTGCAAACCACATATTGGATGCAGGGTTAATATCCAAAATATATAAAGAAATCATATAATTGAATAGCAAAAATAATTATTAGAAATAAGAAGAGGAAGTAAATACTTTTTGAAAGAATACTTACAAATGTTCAACAGACACATGAAATGATGTTCAACATCGCTAATCATCAAGGAAATGCAAATCAACAGCACAATGTGATATCACCTCACACCTGTTGGAGGTAAGTAGTGTTGCTAAGGATGTGGAGATAAGAAAATCCCAGTCAGGTCCCCAGTAGGGGGCGCACGAGAGGCAACCACACATTGATGTTTCTCTCCATCTTTCCCTCTTCCCCTCTCTCTAAAAATAAATAAATAAAATCTTTATAAAAGAGAAAGTAGGTAAAATAAGGTCACATGTGTCTTTACCTGCTTTTCACATATTATTTTTTCCTTCTGAAAAAAGGAAATGAACAAAAATAGTCACGTCCAATATGTGGGGATAGAAGGGGAAGGGAATAGAATCAAGTGGTCATCTCTGATTGTACCATTCCAGGCAGTTGTCACTTCTGAAACATGAAAATATTCTCCATATTAAAGACACAATTAAGTCATAAAAGATGAAAAACACAGTCTGACATGAATATAAACAAATAAAAATAAATAGAGGCTATTGATATTCACTCACCATGGCTACATGGTAAAACCAATAAATATAAAAAGGAAATCTATGAATTTGCTAGGAATTTGGTTTTCCTATAAGGGACACAGGTACAACATAAATGAACCTGTAAAGTTACCCCAGGTGGGAAATACCTGTGTGGATGGACACCGTGCTTCCTCCCTGATACTCAGTGGTCCGTACAGAACAAAACCCCAGGTCACTCTTTCTAAATATTGTTCCCAATGAAAAGGACCCGAGACCATGGGGGCCCCTGGTCCAGGGCAGGAGTCAGATGAGCCCAGGCTCCCTGTCATTCTACACAGCCTGACCAAATGCAGCTAAAGACAGTGGATGTCTCAGAAAGCTCAGTGGGAAAAGCCCTTCACTGGCCAAGTCTGCGGAGCTGAGCAGTATCTCACAGGGAGGGGGCTTCTGCTCCCAGCAAGATGCAGGCAGCAGGCAGTACACTGGGCTGTAGGAGCCCCTTCCTCCCTGAGACCAGCTCAGATCCGGAGCAGAGAGGGGCCAGCACTTCCCTGGAGAGTAGAAGCCTCACTGAGAGTAAAGGGAGCCTCCCTCCCCACGTGCTGTCCCTGCAGGGACAGGGGAAGGCAGGAATCTCCCTGACCAGCCCTGAATTACAAGAGACCAGGCGATTGGCCCTCATCCTCTCAAGCGTCCCACAGCAAGGGTACCCAGACCCCAGAATGTGGGACACCAGTCTCCCAAGACTCAGAGCACTGCTGTGACAAATGCGCACCAGCATTGTGGCTCACAGCAGCGCAGATGTGTGATCTCAGTGTCCGGGAGGTTGGGAGTCCCAACAGCCTGACCTTGAGGTGTCTGCAAGGACACCTTCTCTCCTGGAGGCTCGCGGGAGAGTCCGTCCCTTGTCTTCCAGCATCTAGAGACCCTGCTTTCAGTGACATGCAGCCCCTTCCTCCCTTGTCTTCAAAGCCAGTGGGTCCTTCTCAGGAGGTGACACTGGGACCCAGGGTCTGCTTCCTCCTCCACCTCTGAGGAGCCTGTGATGCCCTTGGCCTTTGTCAGTAACACTCCCCTATGGGTGCATGTACAACTGTCCAGGTCCCTGCTGTCACTTCCCTGCATGGGAACCTGGACTAGGGATGCTGAATGGAGGGAGACTCCCTGTTCACATTCTGAGGAGCAGCCCTGCAGATCTACTCAGAGGCTGCACCACTTTGTGTCCCCACCAGGGGCCCCAGGGGCTCCTGCCCCTCCACAGCTTTGCCACACTCGCTGTTTTTAGGTTATTATGTTTAATTTATTCTTTGGTTACAGTCAACATGCAATATATTATTTCACGTGTACAGTCAGGGGTTAGACACTTATATACTTTATGAAGTAATCCCCCCAGTAGGTCTAGTGCCCACCATTTAAAAATAATTTTAACGATAGTTCTCCTTCGTAGTGTGATTTGATATCTCACTGTGGTTTTGGCCCATGTCCCTTCCCTAGACTTTAGATCCCAGTCGCCTGAGACAGAGGGGACAGATGCAGGGGGAGAAGCCATTCCAGGAACAGAGGTGAGTGCACAGGGGCCCAGAACAGGTGCAGTTCCACATGTGGCAGGTGTGGGTGACAACCAACCTCTTCAGCAGCACATGCCTGGTCCCCAGAAATCAGGCAACACCTCAGGTCTCCAGGAGGAAGAAGAGGGAGGCAGAGGCTGCAGGGACCTAGGGCCTGTCTGAGATCCGGGAGAGAAGGGAGACCTGGGCAGGACTGGGTCAGGGCTGTGAGTAGGTGAGGGTCAGGCCTGGAGCCAAACCCTGGAGAAGGAAATGGACCACACAGGAGGCCAGGTCCTCGCTGCTCCTTCACCCTTCCGAGCACAGAGTCCCGTGCACAGGGCAGTCTCACCAGGACCATGAAATTCACAGACCGGGGTGGCTCTGGGTCTCTTGGGCTTTAGTTGGAGTCGGGGGCCATGGGGAGGCCTCTCCTGGTGGCCTGGAGTCTAATTTCTGGAGTCCAATTATCTGGATCTCCCTTGTGTCCATCCCTGTGGTCCATGAATGCACCTGTGCCAGCTGTGCCCAACCTCTGCCAGGATCACCACCAGGATCAGCAACACCACACCAGACAGGCCAATGCAGACAAAGTTCTCTACCATATAATTCCAGGAGGTGGGGGCTGGAAGGAGAGCACAGGGGATCAATGGCAGGTGGACAACACCTGCCCAAGCCCAGAACCTATGAAACAGGAGTTCCTCCTTTAGTGGGCAGGCCTTTCCGTTCCAGTACTGCTCTGGGAACACTCCCAGGTGACTTACCTGACTGGGAGCCCTCTCCTGTGGGACGGGGGGTGACTTCAGGGGTTGTTCCTGGGAGTGAGAAAGGACCAGTGTTTGTCTCCTGCACAGACCCTCCCTTCCCTGGGAGCCCCCAGCCCCTGCCCTCTCTTCCTTGAGACCCCTGGGTCCACATCCCCAGGGTTCACTACCAGTCAACTACAGCCCCCCAGTACAGGGCACAGCCGCAAACTCAGACTTGCTCAGGGATCCAGGTAGAGTCTCCCCTCCTGATTCTGACACCCCCAGGATGAACAGGCCTCTTCCTCTAGAGGTTGAAAAGTGTCCCCACCTGCTGAGTGTCTACCTTCCAAAAGAGAAGCTGGTCCCCTCCCCACTGCCATCCCACTGCCTACTCCCCAGAAGAAGCCACAGAAGGGGATTCCCCAGGATGAGGTCCCCACTCCTTAGGCAGGAGGGGCTCTGGGTGGCAGGCTTAGGTCTCCAGGGGCTCCTATGAGGGAGCAGAAGAAGCCCTGAGCCCAGGTTCCTCCTCAGCCTGTGCCTCTCAGCCTGGCCCTGCAGCTCCCACAGGGTCCACACCTGGCCTCTTTTGCTGCACCTCTCAGTACAGAGGATGCTCCCTGGACTCCTAGGAAAGGGGGCAGGGACATGTGAAATCACCATAATGAAATTCTCTGCTTCTATGTGTCTGAGGGGCTAGACACCTCTCAGAATGTCCTGTCACCCTCCCTACATTAGGACAAAGCAGTTAGACACTTGTCCAGAGACAAACAGGGTGGGTGGAGCCACCTCACCTGGCCACAAGTCCAAGGGGTCCTGAAGGTTGGCCCTACCTATCACGGCCATTGTTACCTGGACAGTCCCACAGGGCAGTGAGGGGTCACAGGTCAGGATAAACTGAACATGCCCATTGACCCAGGGGAGTCTGAGTCACAGCTGTATAAAGAGCAAAGGGAGAGACAATAGCAGGTTTTAAAGGAGAATTCCTCTCTCCTTGTCACTGTCCCTGAGCCTGTGACTTAAACCCTGAGTCCAGGCTCTCGGGAGCTGACCACACAGATGGGAAGGATAGCCTCATCTCAGATGTCCCCAAAGCACTGTCCATACCTGGCCACAGACCCCATGGTGCCTGTGACTTGCCCAGTGGTGGATGGACTTCACCCACAAGGGTCACACTTCCTCGGGTCCCCACTGAGCCTGCCCAAGAGCACAAAAACAGATGAAAACCATTCTGAGTGAAAGACCAACAGTCCCTTGAAGGGGGTCTGTCCCTGGAAGTCCACTCTCCACCCAGCCCTGCAAGGGCTCACTACCCAGCCCACGCCATGCTGGGGGTCAGTGTCCAGGCCATCCTGGTGTCCAGATGGGACCAGGGCTTCAGGGCCCCGAAGCTGGTGTGAAGTCCAAGGGACAGGAGTGCTAAGGGGCAGGGGATCCACAGGGCTGAGGGCCAGCAGGAGAGCAGGGAGCCTGGGACAGAGGACAGGGGTGGGGACAGGGTGCAGTGACCTGGGGCAAACCTGAGGATGGAGTGGAGACGTCCTTGTCTGTCACCTTCAGCTCCAGGGGCTCACTGCACTCAGACCACCTGGGCCCTTTGAGACAGTGGCACCAATAACTCCCAGCAGTGAGTTCATTCATTGAGTCAATGTGGAATGTGCCTTCTGTCCAGTGAGCACCATGTTGAGACACGTTTCTCTCACCCCAATGGAAAGATGTTCCATTCTTCTCCAGAAGGAATCCATCAGCCCCAGCTGGGCCCTGGCACATGACGGTCACAGGCTGTCCCTGGGGGATCACAGGACCTGGCTCGGCCCTAATGGAGGGTTTGGGCAGGAATCTTGGGAAGAAACAGAGCAGATCTCAGGGTCCCTTGGGAGAAAGTCACCACTCTCACAGTCCCCTGATCTCTGGATTCACTTCCATGTTTTTAGCAAACTTGTAGAGCTGTGTAACCATCTTCATACCCAGTTTAGAAAATCCCACCATCCTTTCCCCAAACACCACCTCCCACACTTACTCTAGTGACTGTGAATCCTCATCACTGCAGAGTGACCCCCCTGACACAGGACCCCGAGTCCTGGTCACATGTTGGGCGTTTCTCAGGGTGACACAGGAGGGGTCAGAGCAGGTTGAGGCCAGAGGTATGAATCCCTGCTCCCAGTCACTATCTAGTGGACAGAGACACTGGGAGTGAGGCAGAGGGTGAGGGTGATGGGTCACATGTGGGGACAGGGAAGCAGGAGTCTGAGATGTGGGGGTGACCTGGGCTGGGACTGAAGGGCAGCTGAGTGACACTGCAGGGACCAATGGGGATTGGAAGACCATGGGGATGGAGCTCTACCCACCCTGGTTACATAACCCCAGTGGGTGGGGATTCCCAATGCATTCTCTACCTTCCTTGCATCCTGTTCCCATTTCTACTATTGAGGGTCCTGAAACCCCTCAAGTGAAAGCCACGTGGCTGGGGAGGGTGGAGCAGAGGTCCCATAGCCCTGAAACAGGAAGATGAAACCCACAGCACGTGATCCCCGATAGAGGCAGGTGCTAGAGGGTCCCCACAGGCTCCCCATCTGTTTACTAGCTCCCTTGCTTACTCTTTCATCCACATCCTAGTCACCCTCTGTCCATCTACAGAGGGGCTCCATGTGCCACTGGCCTCATAAACACGAGTCTCACACACAAGGACCTGCCTGCTGGTCTGGAGGGAAAAGGGAGCACAGAGGCTGGTGGAGGGATCATGCAAACCAACAGCCACTGCAGTGACAAGTACCCCAGGTGAGTGTGGGTGTCTTGAGGCTGACCAGGGACAGATGATCTCATCAGGGAGGCACAGGGGAGAGGCACTGAGCTGAGATACAATGGCCAAATGAGAACCAGCCCAGCCCACTGAGTGGAGAGTCAGCCTCAAAAGGAGTTCTGGTCGAGCGGGACAAGGGTGTCTGTGGCAGTGAAAGAAGGCTGTGTCTCAGCAGATCAGTGGGTCAGACAGCATGAGAACAAACACATCCAGACAGAGAGAAGGGTCTGGGTCTCTTCCTGCTTGAAGATAAGCCATGACAGGACTCTAAGGAAAAATAATACTTTGTAAGAAAACACAACATTCATGAAAAATGGAATTTTAAAAGGTAGACTCACCCTCCTGCATGTGGATGGGCTGGCCCAGGCAGAGCACTGGAAGAGAAGCTGTGGTGAGAAAACCACCCAGCACGTGGCCTCCTCCCGGGGCTGCACTCAGGGGCCCTGATGGAGGCAGGGCTCAGCCCCCAAGAATGTCCAGCACCCTCCTCAGCATTCCCTCTGAGCACAGCCTTTGCTCTTCCTCTGAGTTTCAAGGAAGCCCCAGTCCCCTCTCCCAAGCAGGCACTCAGTCTGAAACTATCCCCACACCCAGGTACCTGCTTCTAGGACTGAACCTCCCATGGTCACACGTGGGTTAGGACCAGAGCTGAGGAGTCAAACCCCTCGGAGGGACCACGAGTTACCAGGGCTGGAGTCTGGACTCAAAAGGAATGAAGACGCCTCCCCAGGCTCCCACCCGCTCTGTCCCAGGATGTTATCACTCCATTCCAGCACTAACCGGGGACCAGGAGGGAGCTGGCTGGCATGGGGGCCCATGGGGGACCATGGCTGGATGTGAACCTGACACCATCCTGGAGCTGGAGGGTGAAGGACAGAGCCTGCAGCTGGCACATTGCTCAGGATGTGTGGGGTCAGGGGTTTTCCAGGAGTTGCTACATCAATATCCTGGAGCAAAGGGGAAGAGCTAATGCAGATGGTCTTGAGTGAAGGTTGAGTACAATTTCTGTGAGACACTGAGACAGACAGGTGCCTTGCCCTGTACAGAAGGCTGTGCCCAAGCCCAGGACCCAGGGAACAGCAGCAGGACAGAGGCAGTGCCCAGAACCGTGGTGGGGTTGCAGCAGAGGTGGATGGCTGGGCTCACCAGGGCTGGGTGGTGACTGTGGTCCCAGATCACAGGCACTGTCTGTGGTCAGTGCTGGCAGAGGTGCACACAGGTCCACCTTGTCACCCAGACCTTCCTGCACCCACTTTGAAGACAAGACCCTTTGAGGCCCTCTCGTGCATGCTGGGGAGGGAAGGGTGGGATGCTGGATGCTCTCTATTCTCTAAGTGATGCCAGGAAGACAGAACTCTGGTGAGCCTTGGTGTGTTAGGCAGAAAGGACACACCTTCTCTAGAGCAGGTGTGGGGTTTACCTGTGATGCTTCCTGACAGTCACTCTTACAGAGAAAAGGGACATCTCCCTCTTCCCCTTTCTCATCAGGCCCTGTGTGTCACACACTGCACATTCCTAGTACCCCCCATACAAATGCCCAAACTTCCCCTTCTGTTGGGCAGACAGAACTGCCTCCAGAGCACCTGACGGCCAGCCCTCTAATGGTCACACAGGTGGCTTCTCTGTCCTCAGCTCCCTGTGCTGCCTCCTGTCTGATTCATCACCTCCCCACCCAGCCAGCCCCGTCATGGGTCAGCACTTGGCAGACCCCCACTGAACCCTCCCATACACAGCAGGGCCCTCACCAGCCCTTGGCCCTGTGCTCTGGGGCAGCCTCCTCTGAGGGAGGGGCTCTCACATGCCAGCACTTCCTCCTCAGGACACACCACTGCTCTGGGTCTTGGGTCCCTGTTTCCTGTGTCCCCAAATTCCTGTCCTTGATCACAGAGGGCAGCAGTGGGGTTGCTTCTAAAGGAAAGAGCACCTTCTGCATCTTCTTATTGGCAGAAGGAGACCACTGGGAGAATGATTGTTGACTTGTGTAAGGCAGCATCTGGAAGGAACGATACATCAGAGATGAGGTCCCAGACCCTTTGCTGCTGTTCCATGGAGTGTATGAACCTGAGAAAACCACCAACTTCCCTGCTTTTTGTGTTCAATTTTTGTCTTTGTGTGAATATCTCTGATACATCTTTGTCAACTGAAGACAAGAGAAACTGAGAGAAACCCAATGTTTCTGGCCATAAGGGGTCACACAGATCAGAGCAGGAGGTGACTGGAGGTAGACACGGCCAGAAGAGACACATTGATAAGGGATCTGATGCACCTTCAGTCCAACCAATTAAGGGTTTCCAATGGAAAGAATCAATATTTCTCTAAGTTCACCTGCAGGACAGACAGGGCAGTGGTGGCAGCGAGAATCCCCTGGACACCCCAATAGCCTCTGTGGAGGGGTGAGTGAAGGAGCTCAGATTGGGGACACAGTCCCCAGCAGGGAAATGGGTACACGTGAGGACATGTGAGGACACATGGAGGGAAATCAGCAGGATCTGGGATGGAGGGACATGAGGAGGGACATACAGGGAATCTAGGGTGACTGTGTTGCCTGGTCCTGGACTCTCGATTCTCCCTGAGAAAACAGAAACAGACTGATGAGGAGTCAGGTGTGAATGGGTGAGAACCAGGGGTCCAGTTTTACATTTATTGGCTCTGAGGGGTCTGGAGATCAGTGTGACATGGTGGGAGTGTTTGCAGCCATCAGGAGAGACTTGGGAGCAATATTGCTAAGGTTGAACCACAGTTCAGTCTCTCCTGGAACCCACAGGACTCCAGTCAGAGTGGCCCTTGGGATGGGAGGGATTAGAGATGTAAAAATGAGTCCTCTCCTGGGTGTGGATCACCCAGCACAGGCAGAGAGTGCCAAGCGAAGGCCCAGGGTAAACATGTCCACTGTTTAGTCTCGTTAACTGGAAGTCAAGCTCAGTGTGCTGCAGAGAAAGACTTTGTCTCCACTGCAACTTCCAAACCACCCTGATCCACATGACTCCCAGGGGACAGCTTCCTTCTGTAGTGGGTGTCACTCAAGTTCCCAGGCACATCCCACCCAGACTTCCCATGGCCTTTCTGTATAGCACCCCTTCCCGGGGTCAGAACAGGTTAGGGGACTTCCTAGTCCCTCCTCTGGAGGCTGAGGTCCAGGTGCCCCAGAGTGGGTGGGGCCTGCATGACTGTCTCTCTCCCAGGGCCCTGCAGGTCCTGGACTAGAGGCTGGACTGAGGTGGGGCTTGGACCCCACCCTGAATGCCACCCCTTTTGTCCCTGGGCTCTGCCCCTGTGTTTCAACTCACAGACATCCAGAAGGGCAGTAGTATTGGGGCCCGTAACCAGCCTCTCACTGTCCTCTCTGTTCTTGTCCTCTGGGTAGGAGGACAGGGCCCTAAAGGTTGGGAAGTGTGCAGCATCCATGCTGTGGGCTCAATTCCATGGTCTCATAGGAAGTGAGTCTGGGTGCCCCCAGGCCCAACTCTAATGTCCCCTCCTTGGGTCCAAAGAGGTTTTGGTTTCTGACAGGTTTTTCTACTGAGATATTTCATAACCAGGCTGAACCCATGTCAATCTAAAGACCTATGGTATTAACTGCATCACAGATGGATAAAGATAGAGATACAAATAAAAGTTAGGTGTATGGACTCCAGCACCAACTTACACCTTACACAAAAATTAATTCAACGTGGATTAAAGACTTAAATATAAACCGTGACACCATTAAAGTCCTAAGGGGGATGTAGGTAGGAAAATCTCAGGTATTTTACACAGAAACATTTTTACTGACATGTCCCCTAGAGCAAGGGACATAAAGGAAAGAAAAAACAAATGGGATCTCGTCAAAAGGAAAAGGTTCTGCATGGCTATAGAAAATAGTATTAAAATAAAAAGAGAACCAACTGTATGGGAAAACATATTTGCCAATGATACCTCAGACAAGAGTTTAATCTCCAAAATGTATAAAAAACTTACACGACTCCACTCTAAGAAAACAAGCAACCCAATTAAAAAATGGACAAAGGACTTGAACAGACACTTCTCCAAGGAGGACATACAGAGGATCCAGACACACATGAAAAGATGTTCAATATTGCTAGTCATCAGAGAGATACAAATTAAAACCACAATGAGATACCACTTCACACCAGTCAGAATGGCCTTCATAAACAAAGCAACAAACAACAAGTGTTGGAGAGGTTGTGGAGAAAGGGGATCTCAGTGCACTGTTGGTGGGAATGCAGACTGGTGCAACCACTATGGAAAACAGTATGGAACTTCCTCAGAAAACTAAAAATGGATCTGCCTTTTGACCCAGCAATTCCACTGCTGGGACTATATCCTAAGAACCCTGTAACACCAATCCAAAAGAACCTATGCACCCCAATGTTCATAGCAGCACCATTTACAACAGCTAAGTGCTGGAAGTAACCTAGATGCCTATCAGTAAATGAATGGATCAAAAAGCTATGGTACATTTACACAATGGAATTCTATGCAGCAGAAAGAAAGATGAAGCTCCTACCCTTTGCAACAGCATGGATGGAGCTGGAAAGCATTATGCTAAGTGAAATAAGACAAGCAATGAAAGACAAATACCATATGATCTCACCTTTAACAGGAACCTAAATAACAAAACAAACAAACAAGCAAAATATAGTCAAAATCACTGAAATAGAGGTCAGGCTGACAGTGACCAGAGAAGAGAGGATTTCAGGGGACAATGGGAAGGGTTTACAGGAAAAAATATAAAGGACACATGGACAAAAACTAGGGGGCTGGAAGTGGGAGGCAGGTGGAGAGGGAAGGGATGGGTGTGTGGGCTGGAATGGGAAGAAAAGGCAGAAAACTGTACTGGAACAATGACTAAAATAAAAAAAATAAATAAATAAAAAATATTTTAAAAAGATAGGTGTATGGAGATACAAAGAGATGATAAATGAAGTAGAGGACTGGTAGATGGATAGATAAGTAAATGACAGGTACATGGATACATATGTACCATAGATAGATATATACACACTTAGATACATAGATATTCATACAGATACATGAATACATACATAAATATATAGATTGAAAGTTACATAGATGCATACATAGACCAATGGTTACATAGGTAGACACATAGACACTTTGATACATAGATAGTAACATAGATACATAAAGACTTAGGTACATAGATAGATACTTAGATACAGAAATACATGGACAGCATAAGCAGGGAGACTTCCCTGTCTTCCCAGGGAAGGTTCTGGTTCCACAGGCTGACAGTCCCCAGCAACACACTTAGGCAAACACTTCAGTTTCCCAAGTGCAGAAGGAGAACCATACAGCTCTCTTGAGACCTTCATATGATAACTGGGGGTCACAGAGAGGAACTTGGCACAGGGAAAGGGTACTCAGTCTACCCTCCCCATGCTCTTCAGGGCAGGTGGCACCCTGCTCAGTCACCATGCCTTTCTCTCTGTGTCCCTGTGTGTCTGTGACCCTGGGCTGTGATCAGCACCCACCTGCCTCCCAGTTGGCTCAGTTCTATCTAAACTAAAAACCACTAAGTCTACAGAGGCAAATGGACTACACAGACTGTTGTTTTCTCCAAAGTTTGGTGAGAGGGGTTTCAAGGAAGGTTGTGTTTGCAAAGAACAAGATGGGTCGGGGGGCTGGAGTTCTAACTGGATGCTGTGGGTGTCTCTAGGTCATTTATGGCACAAATCACAGGCACTGTGTAGGAGAGAAAGTGGACTACTAGCCTCTGTCCTTCACTACAGGGAGTCGCATGATTCTGACCTCACAGGGGAGGGCCCAGCCCCAAGAGGAGGAGAATCAGGACCTGAAGGGAAAGACCTGAGACTTCTCAGGGTCACAGCCCAGAGAGGGGCTGCTGGGCCACAGCACCAGGCAGGCAGTCTTCCAGGAAGAGCTGGCGTCAGTGGGAAGGGACATCGTCATTGCCCTCGGTCAGCCAGGTGAGGTCAGAAAGAGAAGAGGAGGTGTCTGCAAGGCCTGCTGTCATGTCCTCCTGGATGGGGTGGGGCTCAGCCTCTCCAAGAGTCCAGACCTACAGCTCTCCCCAGACATGAGCTCAGCCCAGGGGGCACCCAGTCCTGTGGTCACTGCTGCTCAAGAAGACCATCAAGCTCTGGGAGTGCATCCTCCCTCCTGGCACCAAGGCCCATGTACATTATGATTCTGGGCCTCAACCCCACCTGCCCAGAGCCCCATGCTCTCGATTCCCAGTCACCCAGCACCTCCAAGAAACAGAAGATTCAGATCATGGACTCTGCCCTGGGGAAGAACCCTGGAAGTGAACCTGAGGATTCAGGGTGGTATGGCCACAGCAGTTGATGTTCTGGTGTGCTACAGGGAACCTGGCATCTGTGGACAGAATTACAGCACTGGCTCTCCTGGGACGCCACCATGGGCAGACGGCAGCTGGTGGGACTTGCAGGTTCTGTGACCTGTGAGCTTGTTCCTGTACTGAATCCATCCTTACTCTCTATGTCTCTAAATAATGTATAAACCAGAACCTACTGGTTCTGTATCCTTGGAGAGCCCAGACTAATGCACTAATAGATCCAAAATAACAAAGAGATGACATACGAAAAGACAGAAATTCAATACATGATGGAACCCCAAGAAATTAAAGATAAAAATAGAGAATTGGAAAGGAAATTGCTGGAGAAAAATTAACCCTGAGTAGAAATGGCACAAGAAAGATCAGCACAATTTATAATTGAGGAGGAAGGCTGGACAGCCACCCTGGCTGAGCCAGGACAGAAACCTCCTGGATAGTGAGATGTTTTCCTCTCCTGTGGTCAGAGGTAGCCAACCTTGGGCAAGTGTGTGAGTATCTCACTGCCTAGTTTTTAAAAATCAAGACAGAGGAAAGACTGCAGGTACTATGGAGGGTTTGAACCAGAATTCGATATGCTAATGTTGCACAGAACTAAAGTACCAACTGCACGTTTAAAAGAGCTGGTTGAGTTTTGGTTGAACTTTTAAAATATTCTTTTAAAATAGAATAACATTTTTAATACCAGACCTGTAACAGGCATGCAAGTTTCGTCTTCTTTCTATTAAAAAAGAAAAAAAAATAAAAAAGCTAAATTATCTGAAGGAGACGCTGGCGCCCCCTAGAGGTTCTTAGGGTACAGACTCCTTTTAACCTAATGGGGCAGCCAGTTTGACCCCATAAAGTGGGTGGGGTGAAACCAGCTGAGCAGCATCAGCTGGGTCTCTGGAAACTGCTGGACATTGGATGGCACTCTGGAAACTGCTAGAAAACATTAGATGGATCTCTTGAAACAGCCAGGTGCCAGTAGCTGGGTCTTTGGAAACAAGAGTTACAACTGTGCTTCACCAAGCTGGTGGGTTGCAGGTGGGACCTCCTGCTTAGGGAACCTCCTGCTTCTTCAGTAGGGGTCCCCAAAGTCCAGGTCTTGCCTCCAGCAAAAATGTGTTGATGACTTTCAGGAAGGAGATGGTTTAACACAGAAGTCCTCCAAGCGGCTGCTAACGGCCTTTGCAATAGTGGCGTCCTGTGTCTCCAGGTGCAGAGGCCAGGTGGACATGAAGTCAGGGTCTGGGGAGGGCTGCATACATGCTGGACTCAGCTATGGGCTCTATTGGTTGTGGGGACTCGGTGTGAGCTGTTCTCTGTGTAAGGGCCTGCTGGTCCAGCTGGTCATATGTCACCTCTTGGGGGTCTCCTGCAGTAGGACTCTGAGGGACAGACCCAGGATAAGTTCGTGTGGCCGAGGCTGAGATATAGGGGCTGGGAGAATGAAAGACTGGGAAGACAGCCTCCACATGGCCCTTGTCATCCCACCTCCCAAATCTCCATTGTGTGGCCTCCTTCCACACAGAGTCCCAGTTGGTCTGTGTGACCCACAGAACATGGCACAAGTGAGGGTCTGTCACCTCCAAGGAGGGGTCACAAAAGACACTGTGGCTTCGGCCCATCCTCTCTGGGATCCCACCCTCTGGGGAGGCCAGCTCCACGGAGGAGCCCACCTGTCTGCAGAGGAACTGAGGCCTCCCACCCCCACCCCTGCAGGGGTGCCACCCTACACGTGGACCATATAGCCCCGGTCAATCCTTCAGCTGGATGCAGCCCTGGTCATCTGCACAGCAACCTCACGAGAGTCCATGAGCCAGCACCACCCAGCACACCCCATCTGCTTCCAAATCCTCACCCAGGATGCTGGGATGGTTTTGTGAGCCCGTTAAAGTGGGGGTGCTGTTATTCCAAAACCAGTGGCAAATACAAGGACTCACTGGGCTGTCCATGTCTCCGTTTGCCTCAGGAAGTGCATCCACTGTGGTGGCCACATCTGGAGGGGAGAGAACAGTGGTCAGCTCTTGGGGGTGGACCTTTGAAGCCAAATGTGCCTGAGAATTCACAGGGTCCGATTTCATACCCTCCTCCTCCAGAAGAGCCCACAATGTTCCCAGATACCCTCCCACCCCCACTGCTTCCAGAATGGCACTGAATGCCCATTTCCCTTCTCCCAAGAGGTCCCCTCTACTGGTCCCTTTACCTGCTGAGCTCTCTGTGAGGTCAACTGTCGGGCTGAGCCTGAGGAGAGAGCACAGGTGAGCATGGGGGGCACCTGGAGGCAGAGAACTGGAAGAGGGGGTGCATGGTCACCCCCAGGGGGCTCTCACCTCTCCTGGAGCCTTGGCTCCTCATCCTTGCTGCTGGGGGTCCCTGAGGACAGTCAGGGGTGTGAATTAGGAGGAAGGCTGTCTTCCCAGCACCCCAAATGCCTTCCTCATGACCCCACCCTGACCCTGAGACTTACCACCTTTTTTCTGACGCCAACAGTGGACTAAGAGAAGGGCCAATATTAGGAGACAAAGCAGAAAGGCCACACAGATCCCAACAAGAATATAAAGATGCTCTGTTGACAGCCCTGGGGGGGCATGGGGGATGGAACCAAGGTATCAGTAGTGTGCATTTACTGAGCACCTACTGCATACCATGCCTGTGCTGGGGGCTTGGCATGTTCACACCCACATGGATGATCTCTCACATGCCTTGTAATCCTGCCACACGGGAACCATCACCCCCATTTTACGAAACCGGGATCCTGAGTGGGGACATCCTCTGTCCACAGGACAATGGCGTAGCTGGAATGTGATGGACATGGAACCCCATTCTTTCTCCCTCCCCCAAAAGGCAATCTCCAGGTCCATGGCCCTCTGACCCCACCACTCACTGCTGGTCTTCGTGTCCAGGGAATTTGTCTGCATGTGTCCTAGGAGTGAGGACTCAGGGGGACATGGGTCAAAGGCCAGAGCTGGGCAGAGGAGGCTCTGGGTGTCCCTGCTCCCCACCCAGGTGTCTCCCTGGCTCTGAGACCTTCACTTGTTCCTTCCAGTGCTGCTCTGCTGGTGGAACTTTCTGTGAGGATGGAAATATCGTATATCAGTCCTGTCCAAATTGGTAACCACGTTTTATTGAATCTATTGATATTGAAGTTAAATAAATGTGTCTATGCATCAAATACATATATGTATATATGTGTATTATATATATATATATATGTGTGTGTGTGTGTGTGTGTGTGTGTGTGTGTGTGTGTGTGTGTGTGTGTATTGGCATGTTCACACCCACATGGATGATGTCCCTGCTCCCCACCCAGGGTGTCTCCCTGGCTCTGGGACCCTCACCTGTTCCTTCCACTGCTGCTCTGCTGGTGGAACTTTCTGTGAGGATGGAAATAAAAATTTACACATATATGTAAATTTTTAAAAATTAATCCTTCACCTTGTTCACCCAACCCCAACCCCCTCCCCTCTGACAGCTGTCAGCCTGTTCTGTGTATCTGTGCCTCTGTTTCTATTTTGTTCTTTAGACTCCATATAAAATCTGGATCATATGGTATTTGTCTTTCTCTGACTCTCCTAGCCCATGGCAGACAGCTGGACCCCAGAAACTGACCCCAAGCTCAGAGCCTCCCAGAACCCCTGTGGTCTCTACTCACCAGCTGTGGAAGGGGGCTTTGTGGGTGTCCCAGGGATGGAGCTGATGACTCTGGGGCTCCTGTGAACAGGGCAGGAGAAGGCTGATGCCATGTGGGGGCTGCCTGGGGTCCATCCCACTCAGCCTGGCCTCTTTCCACCCTGAACTTCCACCCACAGGCCACATCAGTCCATCACCCTGTCCCAGATGACACCTCACATTCCTGAGAAATGGGGGCCAGGAGTCAGGGAGAGACCCCTGCTCCTTTCTGCTGAGAGGAAGTGGTCACTCCTCTCACCTCCCACCACCATGGGGCTCCTGACCCCATGAGTCAGCAAGGAATTGCTCCTGTGAAACCCAGGAGCACATGGAGGGGGTCAGAGTGTCCCTGATGGACTCTGAGTCTAGGACATCTCAGGCCTGAACACACTGGGTAAGGACAGCTTTAGCCCCAAAATCCCACAAAGCAACATCCAGCTCTGTTATGGTACTTGGACCACATGAGTTTCCAAAAAAGATCAATCACGCAGAGAGGACTCATTACCTGGGACCCCATCGAGTCTGGCCCAGGAAAAAGAACAGTAAAACACCATCATGCAGGGTGTGACACCTGTCTCCTTAAAGGGAGTCTGTGCCCAACTGACCTCTGGGAGTTCACTCCCCACCCAGCACTGCAGGGACAGCTCTGTGTCCACAACAATGCTGGGCTCAGTATCCAGGCCATTGTGGTGTCAGGAAGGGTCCAGGGCTCCAGGGCCCTGAGGCAGGGGTGAGGATCAAAGGATATGAGTGCAGAGGGGCTGGGGAGCAAGAGGGCAGGGAGCCTGGGACAGAAGACAGGGGTGGGGACAGGGTGCAGGGACCTGGGGCAAACCTGAGGGTGGAGTGGAGCCCTCCTCACCTGTCACCTTCAGCTCCAGGGGCTCACTGCACTCAGACCTGCTGGATCCTTTATGGTAAGAGCAGAAATAACTCCCAGAAGTGAATTCATTCACTGCATCAATGTGGAATATGGCCTCTGCCCAGTGTGAACCACACTGAGACACATTTCTCTGACTGATCCCAATGGACAGATCTTTCATTCTGCTCCAGATGGAATGCCTCAGCCCGAGCTGGGGCCCAGCACACGATGGTCACAGGCCGACCCCAGCGGATCACAGAGCCCCCCTCAGCACTGATGGAGGGTTTGGGAAAGGTCCCTGGGAGGAAGCAGAGAAGATCTCAGGGTCCCGCAGGAGGATGTCACCACACTCTCAGCCCCCCCATTTTCTGGGTTCACGTCCGTGCTTTTAGGAAATTTGCAGTTGTGTGACCATCCCCACAACCCAATTTATAACAACCCACTATCCTTTCCCCAAACACCACCCCCAACAGCCACTCCAGTGACTGAATCCTCATCACTGCAGAGTGACACCCCTGACACAGGACCGAGTCCTGGTCACATGTTGGGCTTTTCTCAGGGTGACATGGGAGGCACCAGAGCAGGCTAGGTTCCTGGGAACATCTCCCTGCCCACAGCCATGTTTTAGGGGACAGAGACTCTGAAAGAGAGGCTACCAGTGAGGATGACAGGTCATGTGTAGGGACAGGGAAGTAGGAGTCTGTGATGTGGGAGTGACTTGGGCTGGGACTGAAGGGCAGCTGGGTGGTACTGTGGGGGCCAATCGGACAGCAGAGCTCCACTGGAAGTCCAGTGGGGGGTGGGGCTCCAACCAGACCTGGTCACATGACCCCAGTAGGTGGGGATTCCCTTCCACAGAGCAATCCTCTGAGCAGCACTGATCTCTATTCTCACTGCATTTTCTACCTCCTTTGCAGCCTCTTTCCATTTCTAGTATTGAGGGTCCTGGAAATACATGTGGTAGGGGGAGGAGAGAGCTCATAGCCCTGAAACAGGAGGATGGCACCCACAGCACAAGATCCTCAATAGAGGCAGGAGCTGGCTGAGGCTCCCCACCTGTTCACTCTGTTGCTCCCTCGCTCATTCTTTCATCCCCATCCTAGTTCCCCTCCATCCATCTACAGAGGGGCCCCATGTGCCACTGGTCCCACAGACATGAGACTCACACACAAGGACCTGCCTGCCGGTCTGGAGGGAAGAGGGAGCAGAGGCTGGTAAAGGGATCGTGCACACCCCAAGCCACATGCCTCGGGTGAGTATGGGAGTGTTGGAAAAGGGACAGCTGACCTCCTGTGGGAGGCACACGGAAGAGGTGCAGAGCTGAGACCCGAAGGCCAAATGTGAACCAGCCCAGCCCAGCTAAAGGAGAGTCAGCCTGGGGGAAGATCGAGTGAGCCAGACAAGGGCATCTGTAGAAGTGAAAGAAAGGCTGGGTCTCTGCAGATCCGTGGGTCAAACAGTGTGAGAACAGACCCATTCAGACAGAGAGAAGGGTCTGGGTCTCCTCCTAGCTGAAGATAAGCCATCACAGGACTCTAAGAAATATTAATATTTTGTCAGAAAACACAACATACATGAAAAATGGAATTTTAAAAGGTAGACTCACCCTCCTGCATGTGGATGGGCTGGCCCAGGCAGAGCACTGGAAGAGAAGCTGTGGTGAGAAAAGCGCCCAGCGCCCGGCCTCCTCCCTGGGCTGCACTCAGGGGTCTTGATAGAGGCAGAGCTCAGCCCCTGAGAATGTCCAGCTCCCTCCTCAGCATTCCCTCTGAGCACAGCCCTTCTTCTTCCTCTGAGTTTCAACAAAGCCCCAGTCCCCTCTCCCAAACAGGTACTCAGTCTGAACCTGTCCCCACACCCAGGTACCCACTTCTAAGACTCAACCTTCCATGGTCAGACTTGGTTCAGGGCTAGAGCTGAGAGGTCAGACCCCCAAGGGGGACCATGAGTCTCCTGGGCTGGAGTCAGGACTCACAAGGGATGGAGACGCCTCCCCAGGCTCCCACCCCCTCTGTCCCAGCACATCATTTCTCCATTGCAACACTCACCAAGGACCAGGAGGGAGCTGACATGGGGGACCATGGCCAGTCCTACAGCTGCACTGTCCTGGAGCTGGAGGGTGAAGGACAGAGCCTGAAGCTGGCACAGTGGACAGGAAGTGTGGGTCTGGGGTTTTCCCAGAATTGTTACATTGAAGTCCCATGCAAAGCAGAACAGTTTATTCAAATGGTCCTGAGTGCAACTAGAGTACAATACGTGTGAGAAATTGAAAGAGACTGGTGCCCTGCCCAGTGCAGGGGCTGTGCTATGTCCAGGGCTCAGGGAACAACAGCAGGGTTGAGGATGTGTGCAGTACAGGTGTGGGGCTCCAGCAGAGGCTGATGGCTGTGCCCACTGAGGCTGTGCATTGACTGTGGTCGCAGATCTCAGGCGCTGTCTGTGGCCAGTGCTGGTTGTGAGGCTCAGGCTGCTGGCTGCTGGCATCTCAGCTTTGGAGGTATATGCCCCATAAGAAATGTATATGGCCAATGGACTTGAGGGAAGCTTGAACACGCATGTTCAAGTCCACAGATGCCACCAGCCCACTGGCCTCAGTCTCCTGGAACTTCCAGCCAGAGGGGACTCACACCACCATGTCATTTCCCACTACTGTCAAGGCCAAGTGTGTCCTGGGAATTTCCTACTCTTTCAGGACAGAATCATATGGGCTGGGGAGCTTGGCAAGAAAGAAGCATTGGGTACCATGGAAAGCATGCAGTTTATCCACAATGGCCCCTGCATCTGTGATGCCAAAGCCCTCCTGACACCATCACCTGGCAAGGACACATTTGGCTCTACCTCATGGAGAAAGAGATTTGGCCTGAGTCTCAGGCTGGGGTGGTGGTGGGCATAGTGACAGCTGTGGTCAGGGGATCTCTCCCTGGTCATCACTGTGATTCTCGCTGTCCTGTACCAAAGGAAGAGCTCTAAGGGGGATGACACTGGCTGCAGTCCTTCAGAGAGGGTGTCACCTGTTACACGGGCTCCACAGAAGTCCCCCTCTGACACAGGGGGTCTGGTACAGAGCCTGCCTCCTGCACCTCCCCAGGGCCCAGCCATGTGTGTGCAGTGAGGCCACCTGGAGTAAACATCACAGTGACAGAATCAACAAGTCCAAGTCTGCAGTGTATGTGGACATGAGGAAAAATGAGGAGAAGACCCAGATCATACCCAAAGCAAGACACACAGTCAAACTGGACTCTTGTGCAAAGATGTGGGCCAAAGCAACAGGGGGCCTGGGACAAGGAGAAGCACCAAGAGGGAGAAGAAGATGTGGACAAAGGCCGTGTGTGAATATTCTATTTACTCTTCTGATGTGAGGAGCCAGTGGTGAGTAATGAAGACATGGAGTGAGTCTATGTATATAAATCATATGGCTGCTTTTTGTACTTTCTGCATTCAGGGTCATGTTCAGTGGGAGAAACTCAGCATCATTCCTGTCCCCGTCTTAGGTGTGGTTTCCCTTCAGGGAGACGTACTGATCTTTGGTGTCCCATCTCCCTGAGCCACACCAGTCTTGGCCTCCTTGGTTTTTGTTGGTTCGTTTTCTTCATTATTCCACATGTTTTCCCCGCAGACGGAACTGATGAAGGAGGAGATGAAGAAGAGTGTAGACAATTCCCATGTCCTCCCCACAACTCATTCTGCCCCCTAGCAGCCCTGCCCCATCACAAACCTGTGCTTTCTGTCTTCACTGAGAGTGAAAGCAAGGGGAGATCAGTAAACATTTATTATTGTCTGTCATCTGTCCAGTTCCTGTATTATTTTTTACCCAAATAAATATTTTTAATTTAAAATGACCCAAAAGCTCACAGTTACATGGAGGTTATGGGGAAAGGGAAGTGAAGGTCAGTGTCCACTTCTCTCCCCTTTGGTTTGGGGACTGTCCCCAGCCACTTCCTTTTTCTTCCCCACATCCATCCTCTTTGGGAGGGAATCTGAAGGCTGAGTTCCTACACAATTCTTATGGGAATAAAGCACCATTGAGAGTTAAACCTGCCGTGAGTGAGCTTCCAACCCTCCCACAGACATGTGGTCTTTTCTTTTCTGAGGAGCAGTTGGTTCTTACCGTTCAGTTTCACCCAACACTGCCTTTATGGGAACGTAAAGAGGGAAGTGCCTTTTAAATCACACCCCATGTGGTGTCCTGGAGCTGGGGGCTGCCTGGGCTTCACTCCACGTGGCAGTAGAAAATATGCTGGTCCTGTAGCTTCTCCTCTCACTCATGGGAAACAGATCCACTGTGTCTCCTAGAACTTCCTGCACCCACCTTGAAGAGATGATAGAGGCTGTTAAAAATAAAGTCTGCACCGTGGCTATGGTGGCTCAGTGCATTGAGCACTGGCTTGTGAACCAAAGGGTCACCAGTTCTGTTCTCAGTCAGGGCACAGGTCTGGGTGGTAGACCAGCTCTCCACCCAGGGAGTGTGTGAGAGGCCACCACACATTGACGTTTCTCTCCCTCTCTTTCCACCTCCCTTCCCTTCTGTCTAAAAATAAATGAATTAAATCTTTAAAACACATAAAATAAAATAAAATAAAATAAAATAAAATAAAATAAAATAAAATAAAATAAAATAAAATAAAATCTGCATTTTGACCCTGATGGTAGATTCAGAAAACCAAGGCACATTTGAAAGGGTAAAGAGAACTTTTTCATTGCCAGCCATCTCCCAAGGTGATGCCAAGTTGAAAGGGAGAGGAGTGAGTGAGTGCCTGGCTCCCCAGCTGAGTGGGATTCTGTACCTACAGAGACACCCTACAGAAGGGGGGGGGGAGATTGCAAACATACATTGCACACAGGATTAATATCCAAAATATATAAAGAAATCATGCAACTCATTAACAAAAAAGTAATGACTACAAAGGGGCACAGGAAGTCAATATTTTTACAAAGAAGACTTTTAAATGGCCAACAGACACATGAAATGATGCTCAATATCGCTAATCATCAGGGAAATGCAAATTAGCACCATAAGGTGATGTCACCTCACACCACTTGGAGCTGAGTAGTGTTGTTAAGAATGAGATAAGGAAACATTCATGCACCCTTAGTGGGAATGTAAGTTGATGAAGCCACCATGGAAAACAGTATGGAGGGTCCTCAAAAAATTAAAAATATAGGACTTTCAGCTTGATGGAGGCATAGGTAGACACACTGTGCCTCCTCGCACCACCAAAAGAAGGACAACAACAATTTAAAAACCAAAAAAAAAAATCCAGAACTGACAGCTAATCAAACTGTATGGAAGTCTGACAACCAGAGTTAAAGAAGACACATTCATCCAGACCAGTAGGAGGGGCAGAGTCGGGCGGCCAGTAGGAGAGGGGTTGAGGCAAAGCGGTGGCTGGTGGACCTGGGCGCACAAGGCAGCAGCTGGCGGACCTAGTTTGGTGGAGCAGTGTGGACTGGGAGGTACCACATTCACACGCAGATGAACCAGCAGAAACAACTGGGGAGCGGGACAGACTGCGCAACCCAGGACCCCAGCTCAGGGAAATAAAGTCATCTCAAACCACTGATTGGAAACACCTTTCAGGGCTGAGGTGCCAGGAGAAACTCCCAGCCTCACAGGAGAGTGTGCTGCAGAGACCCACAGGGTCCTAAAATGTACACAAGCCCACCCACCTTGGAATCAGCACCAGAAGGGCCCACTTTGCTTCTGAGTAGCAGGGGAAGTGACTGAAATCTGACAGAGAGCAGAGCAAGTGCCATTGTTCCCTCTTGGACCCCTTCCCCACATACAGTGTCACAACCCAGCAAGGAGTGTTGCCCCATCCTGGTGAACAGCTAAAGCTCTGCCCCTCATACATAACAGGCACATCAAGACAAAAACAAAAACAAAAACAAAAACAAAAAAACAAGGCCCAAAGGAAAGAACAGATCAAAGCTCCAGAAAAAATACACCTAAATGATGAAGAGATAGCCAACCAATCAGATGCACATTTCAAAACATTGGTAATCATGATGCTCACAGAATTGCTTAAATTTGGTCACAAATTAGATGAAAAAAATGAAAGTTACACTAAGTGAAATAAAGGAAAATGCACAGGGAACCAATAGTGATGGGAAGGAAACTGGGACTCAAATCAATGGAGTGGGCCAGAAGGAAGAAAGAAACATCTAACCAGAAAAGAGTGAAGAAATAAGAATTCAAAAACAATGAAGAGAGGCTTAGGAGCCTCCAGGACAACTTTAAACGTCCCAACATCCAAATTATAGGGGTACCAGAAGGAGAGGAAAAGCAACAAGTGAAAAAGTTTTCTGAACAAATAATAAAGGAGAACTTCCCCAATCTGGCAAAGGAAATAGACTTCCAGAAAGTCCAGGAAGCTCAGAGAGTCTCAAAGAAGTTGGATCCAAGGAGGAACACACCAAGGCATATCATAATTACATTAGCCAAGATTAAAATTAAGAAGAGAATCCTAGAAGCCCAAAAGAAAAGAAGACAGTAACCTACAAAAAAGTTTCCATGAGACTGTCAGCTGATTTCTCAAAAGAGATCTTACAGGCAAGAAGGGGCTGGAAAGAAGTATTCCAAGTCATGAAAGGCAAGGACCTACACCCCAGATTGCTCTATCCAGCAAAACTCTCATTTAGAATGGAAGGGCAGATAAAGTGCTTCTCAGGTAAGGTCAAGTTAAAGGAGTTCATCATCACCAAGCCCTTATTTTATGAAATGTTAAAGGGACTTATGTAAGAAAAAAAAGATAAAAAACATGTACAGTAAAATGACAGCAAACTCACAATTATTAACAACCACACCTAAAACAAAAACAAACTAAGCAAACAACTAGAACAGAAACAGAACCACAGAAATGGAAATCACATGGAAGGTTATCAATGAGGGAGTGGGAGGAGGAGAGAGGGGGAAAAGGTACAGAGAATAAGTAGCATAGATGAGAGATAGAAAATAGACAGGGGGATGGCAAGAATAGTATGGGAAATGTAGAAGCTAGAGAACTTATATGTATAACCCATGAATATGAACTAAAGGGGGAGAATGTGGGTGGGAGAGGGTGTGCAAGGTGGAGGGGACTGAAGGGAGAAAATGGGACAACTATAATAATATAATCAATAAAATATATTAAAATTTTAAAAATATAGATCAATCATAGGATTCAGCAATTGTTCTACTGGGTGTATATCCAGAGGAAATGAAAACAGGATACTCAAGAGATAAAACTACTACCGTGTTTATTGCAGCATTGCTCACAATAGCCAAGCTATGAAATCCACCTAGGTGCCCATCGATGGATGAAGAAGACACATATAGTCCTGGCTGGTGTGGCTCAGTGGATTGACTGCGGGCCTGTGTCTCCAGTTTGTTTGTCAGTCAGGGCACATGCCTGGGTTGCAGGCCAAGTCCCCAGTAGGGGGCGTATGAGAGGAAACCACACATTGATATTTCTCTTGCTCTATTTCTCTCTCTTCCCCTCTGTCTAGAAATAAATAAATAAAATCGTTAAAAAGAGAAAGTAGATAAACTAAGGTTGTCTGTTTACCTGTTTTTCACATATTATTTCTTCCTTCAGAAAACCAGAAAGTAATAAAAATAGTCACCTCTGATATGTGTGGGTACAAGAAGGGAATAGACTCAAGTGGTCATCTCTAATTGTACCATTCTAGATGGTTGTCACTTCTGAAACCTGAAAATATTTTACATATTAAAGGCACAATTAAGTCATAAATAATGGAAAATCACACTCTGACATGAATATACACAAATAAAAATAAATGGGAGTTTATTGATATTCAATCACCACAGCTACATGATAAAACCCCCACCCCTGAAAAAAGAAATTTCTGAATTTCCTAGGAATTGGGTTTTCAAATAAGGGACACAAGTACATTAATGAACCTGTAACGTTACCCCAGGTGGGAGATACCTGTGTGGATGGACACGGTGTATCCTCCCTGATACTAAGTGGTCCATACAGAACAAAACCCCCAGTGACAGGGGGTCTTGACTTAACTTAATCCGAGGTCACTCTTTCTAAATATTGTCCCCAATGAAAGGTACCCTAGATGGTGGGGGCCCATGGTCCAGGGCAGGAGCACAGATGGGCCCAGGCTCCCTGTCATTCTACAAAGGGCCCAGATAAGAGGGGCTGATGTCTCAGAGAGCACAGTGGGAAAGGCCCTTCCCTGGCCAAGCTTGGGAAGCTGAGCCCAGTCTCTCAGTGAGGGGGCCCCTGCTCCCAAAAGGACACAGGCACCTTCCTGGGCTGGAGGAGCCCCTTCCTCCAGGAGACTGGCTCAGATCCGGAGCAGAGAAGGGATGGCACTTCGCTGGAGAGGAAGAGCCTCAGGGAGAGCAAAGGGAGCCTCCCCTCTCCGTGTGTGTGTGCTGTCTGTGCAGGGACAGGGGAGGGCAGGAGTCTCCCTGCCCAGCCCTGCTGTGCAGGAGACCAGGCGACTGCCTCGGGAGCCAGTGCAGGTATAGTGCAGCCACACACTCAGCATCTCAGAATCAAGCCCAGTCCCCCAGACCCCAGAGCCAACGTGGTGTGCGGCCGGGCTTCTGACTCTGGTGGCTGAGTTTGGGTGAAGGGTCGGGGGGGTTGAGGTCAGAGGCTTGTCAGGAAACCTCCACCCTGGCTTCCAGAACTTTGGGGGCATCCTGAGACCCTGGAGTGTGGGACCCCAGGCTCCTCAGACTTGGAGCGCTTCTGTGACAAATGCCCACCAGCGTGGTTGAGGTGTCTGCAGGGCTTCCTTCTCTCCTGGAGTCTCCCGAAAGAGTCTGTCCCTTGTCTTCCAGGGTCTAGAGACCCCACATTCTGTGATACGTGGCTCCTTCCTCCCTTGTCTTCAAAGCCAGTGGGGCCTTCTCAGGAGGTGTCACTGGAACCCAGTGTCTGCTTCCTCCTCCACCTCTGAGGAGACTGTGATGCCCTTGACCTTTGGGAATTACACTCTCCTGGGGGCGCATGTACAAGTGTCCATGTCCCTGCTCTCACTTCCCTGCATGGGAACCTGGACTGGGGCTGCTGGATGGAGAGAGACGCCCTGTTCAGGTTCTGAGGAGCAGCCCTGCAGGTACGCTCAGAGGCTGCACCACTTTGTGTCCCCACCAGGGGGCCCAGGGGCTCCCTCTCCTCCACAGCCTTGCCACACTCGCTGTTTTTAGGTTATTATGTTTAATTTATTTTCAATTTCAGTCAACATACATTATGTTATTTCAAGGGTATAGCATAGGGGTTATACATTTACATACCTTATAAAGTGATCCTCCCAATAAGTCTAGAGCCCACCATTTAAAAATAATTTCAGCAATAGTCATCCTGAGGAGTGTGCAGGGATGTCTCAGTGTGGTTTTGGCCAAGTCCCTTCCCTGGACTTCAGATCCAGGTCAGCTGGGAGACAAAGGGACAGATGCAGGAGGCAGAGACACTCCAGAAACAGAGGTGAATGTCTGCAAGACCAGAGCAGGTACAGTTCCACAGGTGACAGGTGTGGGTGACACCAAAGCCTTGAGCAGCACATTCCTGGTCCCCAGAAATCAGGCAACAACTCAGGTCTCCAGGAGGAGAAAGAGGGAGGCAGAGGCTTCAGGGACCTGGGGCCTGTCTGAGATCCAGAAGAGAAGGGAGACCCGGGCAGGAGTGGGGCAGGGCTGTGAGTAGGTGAGGGTCAGATCTGGAACCAAACCCTGGAGAAGGAGATGAACCACACAGGAGGCCAGTCCTCGCTGCTCCTGCATACTTCTGAGGACAGAATCCCGTGCCCAGGGCAGCCTCACCACGTTCACTGGGAAACTCACAGAATGGGCGTGGCTCTGGATCTCTAGGGCTCCAGTGTGAGCCTCGGGCACTGAGGGAGTCCCCTCCTTGGGGTGTGGAGTCTAATCTCTTTGGCAGGAGTTCCCTTGAGTCCATCCCTGTGGTTGATGTGGCCACCTGTGCCAGCTGTGCCCAGCCTCTCCCAGAATCACCACCAGGATAAGCAACACCACTCCAGAGAGGGCAATGCAGACATAGTTTCCCACTGTGTAGTTTCGGGAGGTAGGGACTGGAAGAAGAGAACAGGGGGTCACTGACAGGTGCGTAAGAATCAGCCAATCCCAGGACCTATGAGAAAGCTGTTCCTCCTTTATTGGGCAGGTCCACCCCTTCCATCACTGCCCTGGACAGGCTCCCAGGTGACTTACCGATCTGGGAGCCCTCTCCTGTGAGTGGGGAGGTCATTTCACAGGAAGTTCCTAGGTGAGAAAAGACAGGTGTTTGTCTCTTGCACAAAGTCTCCCGTCCTGCCCTCACCACTTTGAAGCCCCTGGGGTCACTACACCCCCAGGGTTCACTACCAGCCAACTACAGGACCCCAGTGCAGGGCACAGCTGCAATATGCAGACTCCTTCAGGGATCCAGGATGCGTCTCCCCTCCTGACTCTCAAAACCCCAAACTATACAGGCCTCTTGCAGCTGAGGATGCAAGATGTCCCTGCCTACTGAGTGTCCACCTTCCAAGAGAGAAGCAGGAAGGACCCCTCCCCACTGCCACCCTGCTGCCCACTCCCCAGCAGAACCCACAGAAGAGGATGCCCCAGGATGAGGTCCCCACTCCCCAGCCCAGGAGGGGCTCTGGGTGGGAGGCTTAGGTCTCCAGGGGCTCCTGTGACGGGGCAGGAGAAGCCCTGAGCCCAGGACCCTCCTCAGCCTGTGCCTCTCAGCCTGGCCCTACAGCTCCCACAGCATCCACACCCGGCCTCTTTCTCTGCACCCCTCAGTACAGAGGATGCCCTTTGGACTCCCAGGAAAGGGCACAGGGACATGTGAGGAAAATGGGATGGAATTCTTTGCCTCTACATGTCTGAGGGGATGGACACCCCTCAGAATGTCCCACCATCCTTGATACATTACATGAAGCAACTGCTCCCTGGGCCAGAGACAAACAGGGGTGGTGGGAGCCACCTCACCTGAACATAGGGTCAGGGAGTCCTGAAGGCTGGCCCCACCTATGAGGGCCACTGTATCTCCCACAGGACCCTAGGACAGTGAGGGGTCATAGGTCAGGATAAACTGGACATGCCCAGTGACCCAGGGGAGTCTGAGTCACAGCTGCATAAAGAGCAAAGGGAGAAACAATACACGGTTTTGAAAAAAGAATTCCTTCCTCCTCCCCACACTCTCTGAGCTGGTCACTTGAACTGTGACCCCAGGACCTCTCAGGAGTTGACCACATACACAGAAGGGAAGGAACACCCTCATCCCAGATGTCCCTTAAAGCACCCTCTAGTCCTGGACTGCATAAACCACATGACTTGCCCAGTGGTGGATGGACCACCCACTGGAAACACACTGCCTGGGGTCCCCACTGAGTCTGCCCAAGTACACAAAAAAGGCTGAAAACAATTCTGAGTAAAAGCACAAATGGTCCCTTGAAGGGGGTCTCTCCCTGGAAATCCACTCTCCATCCAGCCCTGCAGGACAGTTCCCATAACACCCCATGCTGGGGCTCAGAGTCCAGGCCATCGTGGTGTCCAGATGGGACCAGGTCTCCAGGGCCCTGAGCCAGGTGTGAAAGCCAAAGCACATGAGTGCAGAGGGGCAGGGGAGCCACAGGACTGGGGGCCAGCAGGAGGGCAGGGAGCCTGGGACAGAGGACACAGCAAGTGACAGGTTGCAGGGACCTGGAACAAACCTGAGGGTGGAGTGGAGACATCCTCATATGCCAGCGTCACCTCCAGGATCTCACTGGGCTCAGACCAGCTGGACCCTTTAAGGTAGAAGCAGAAATAACTCCTACCCCTGACGACACTCACTGTCACAATTCGGAATCTGGCCTTTGCCCCCTGTCAGCCTTGGTGAGAAGGGAATTTCTTATCCTAATAAACAGATGGATTCTCCTTCTCCACCAGATGGAATGTGTCAGCCCTAGCTGGGCTCTGGCACACGTGGTCACAGGCTGTCACGGGCAAATCACAGGACCCCACTCCGCCCTGATGGAGGGTTTGGGCAGAGCCCATGGGAGGGAGCAGAGCAGATCTCGGCGTACCTCAGGAGGAAGTCACCACACTCACAGTCCCCCGTTTTCTGGGATTACATCCTTGATCTTGGAACATGCAGAGTTCTGCAACCATCCCCACAACCCAAATCAGAACACCCCACCATACTTTCCCCAAACACCAGCCCCCACAACCACTCCAAGTAACCATGAATCCTCATCCTTCAGAGTGATCCCACAACACAGGACCCCAAATCATGGTCACATGTTGGGCTTTTCTCAGGGTGACACGGGAGGGGCCAGGGCAGGCTGGAGTCCTGGACACATCTCCCTGCCAACAGCCACTAATGGGGGCAGAGACCCTGGGAGGGGGGCAGAGGGTGAGGATGACCAACCAGTCATTCTTGGAGACAGAAAAGCAGGAGTCCGAGATGTAGGAGTGACTTGGGCTGGGACTGAAGGGCAGCTGGGTGACACTGTGAGGACCAGCGGGAGCTGCAGAGCTCCACTGGAAGTCCAGGGCGGGTGGGGCTCCAACCAGACCTGGTCACATGACCCCAGTGGGTGGGGATTTCCAAACCCAGGGCAATCCTCTGAGCAGCACTCATCTCTGTTCCCACTGCATTTTCTACCTTCCTTGCAGCCTGTTCTCATTTCTAGTATTAAAGGTCCTGAAACCCCATGTGAGCCACGTGGATGGGGAGGAGGGAAGACAGGGCTCCTGGTCCCGAAACAGGGTGATAGCACCCACGTCACACAAGCCCCATAGAGGCAGGTGCTGCCTGACGCTCCCCACTCGTTCACACGGTCACTGTCTTCCTCATTGTTTCATCCACATGCTAGTTCCTGTCCATCCGTTTACAGAGGGGCTCCATGTGCCACTGGCACCACAAACACGAGACTCACATACACAAGGACCTGCCTGCTGCTCTGGAGGGAAGAGGAAGCACAGAGGCTGGTGGAGGGATCGTGGAAGCCCGCAGCCACATGTGGTGAGAAGTACCCCGGGTGAGTGTGGGAGTCTCAGGGATGACAAGGAACAGATGACTTTATGTGAAAGTCAGAAGAGAGAGGCACTAAGCTGAGACCCGAAAGCCAAGTGTGAACCAGCCCAGCCCACTGAGAGGAGAGTCAGCCTGGGAGGAGGTCAGGTCCAGTGGGACAAGGGTGTTTGTGGAAGTAATGGAAAGGCTATGTCTTGGCTCATCAGTGGGGCAGACAGGGTGAAAACAGAACCATCCAGACACAGAGAGGTGCCTGGGTCACATCCTAACTGAAGGTAAGCCATCAGAGGACACTAAGGAATATTAATACTTTGCCAGAAAACACAGCATATATAAAAAAAAGTGAGTTTAATAAGGTAGACTCACCCTCCTGCATGTGGATGGTCTGGGCCAGGCAGAGCACTGGAGGAGAAGCTGTGGTGAGAAAAATGCCCAGTGCCCAGCCTCCTCCTAGGGCTGCACTCAGGGACCCTGATGCAGGCAGGGCTCAGTCCCTGAGAATGTCCAGCTCCCTCCTCAGCATTACCTCTGAGCACAGCCCTTCTTCTTGCCCTGAGTTTCAACAATGCCCCAATCCCCTCTCCCAAACAGGTACTCAGTCTGAACCTGTCCCCACACCCAGGTACCCACTTCTAGGACTCAACCTTCCGTGGTCAGACTTGGGTCGGGGTCAGAGCTGAGGTGTCAAAGAGTCTGTGAAAGAACTGGGAGTCCCCTGGGCTGCAGTCATGACTCAAAAGGGATGAAGACGCTTCCCCAGGCTCCCACCCCCTCTGTCCTGGGACATTATCCCTCCATTCCAGCACTCACCGAGGACCAGGAGGGAGGTGGAATGGAGACCCATGGCCAGACCTGCAGCCTGCACTGCCCTGGAGCTGGAGGGTGAAGGACAGAGCCTGAAGATGGTACAGTGGACAGGAAGTGTGGGTCATGGGTTTTCCTGGGGTTGCTACATCCTCCTGCAAAGGGGAAGAGCTAATTCCAGACAGTCCTTGGTGAAAGTTGGATATGTCATATTAGAGAAACTGAAAGACACTGTGGGGTGTTGGTGCTGCACCCAGTGAGGCAAATGGCATCTGTGTGCAGGGCTCATCAGCAGGAACGGGGTCACTAGGTGGCCTGTCTGCAGGACCCCAGAGTGCTCTCTAGGGAATGATCTTCCTTCTGAAGCTTCAGTCTCAGCTTCATGGTGAACTCAGAGACCACTCAGATTAAAGACAGGTTACATTTTTGGGTCAGCAAGTGGGGCCAGGATTGTAGTTTAGCAATGTCTCTCTGTTCCTGTTTGTGTGGGGTTTTTTTTTAAGATTTTGTTTATTTTTAGAGAGAGGGATGGGGAGAAGAGAGGGAGAGAAACATCGATATGTGACAGAAACATTAATCATTTGTCTTTTGTACTTCCCCAAATGAAGACCCAGCCTGCAACCCTAGCAGGTGCTCTGACCAGGAATTGAACCACAGATTCTCTGGTTTGTGGGATGACATCCATCTCACTGAGCCACACCAGTCAGGACCTCTTTGTTTTATTTTGTTCGTTTTCCACAGTTTTCTCCTAGGACGGAACTGATGAAGGAAGAGATGAGGAAGTGTCTAGACAATTCCCGCATCCTCCCCACAACTCATTCTGCCCCTTGGCAGCCCCGCCCCATCACAAACCTGTGCTTTCTGTCTTCAGAAAGCAAGTCTTTCACGCTTTCTGTCTTTCTGTCTTTCACGCTTCACACCGAGTGTGAAAGCAAGGGGAGGTCAGTAAACACATATTTATGCATGTCATCCCTGCAGTTGCTAGATTATTATTTAATCAAATAACTATTTTTTAATTTAAAATGACCTGAAAGCTCACAGTTACACAGAGGTCCCGGGACTAGTTTGGGGAAGGGAATGTGATGGGCAGTGTCCACTTTTCTCCCCTTTGGTTTGGGGACTGTCCCCAGCTGCTTCCTTTTTCTTCCCCACAGCCATCTCTTTGGGAGGGAATCTGAAGGCTGAGTTCCTACACAATTCTTACGGGAATACAGCAGCATTGAGAGTTCAAGCTGTCCTGAGTGAGCTTCAACTCTCTAGCAGATGGGTGGTCTTTTCTGAGGAGCAGTTGGTTCTCCCATCACATTGCAGCCAACGTTGCCTTTATGGGAATGTAAAGAGGGAAGAGACTTTGAAATCACACTCCATGTAGTTTTCTGGAGCTGGGGACAGCCTGGGGTGCATTCTATGTGGCAGAGGAGAAATATGCTGGCCCTGTGGCCTCTCCTCTAGCTCATGGGAAACAGGTCCACTGTGTCTCCCAAAACTTTATTCACCCAGTTTGAAGACCAGAGCTGATAGAGGCTGTTAAAAATAAAATCTGCACTCTGGCTACAGTGGCTCAGTGCATTGAGCACTGCCTTGTGAACCAAAGGGTCACCAGTTCTGCTCTCAGTCAGGGCACAGGCCTGGGTGGTAGACCAGCTCTCCACCCAGGGAGTGTGTGAGAGGCCACCACACACCGATGTTTCTCTCCCTCTCTTTCTACCTCCCTTCCCTTCTGTCTAAAAATAAATGAATTAAATCTTTAAAACACATAAAATAAAATAAAATCTGCATCTTGGCCCTTATGGTAGATTCAGAATGGCACATTTGAAAGGGTAAAGAGAACTTTTTCATTGCCGGTCCTCTCCCAAAGTTATGTCAAGTTGAAAGGGAGAGGAGTGAGTGAGTGCCTGGCTCCCCAGCTGAGTGGGATTCTGTACCTACAGAGACACCCTACAGAAGGGAGAGGGGAAATTGCAAACATATATTGAGCACAGTGTTAATATCCAAAATATATAAAGAAATCATACAACTCAGTAACAAAAAGAAATGATTACAAAAGAGCACAGGAAGTAAATATTTTTCAAAAGAAGACTTCCAAATGGCCAACAGACACATGAAATGATACTCAACATCACTAATCATCGAGGAAATGCAAATTAACACCACAATGCACTATCACCTTACACCAGTTGGAGGTGAGCGTGTTTGTAAGGATGTGGAAATAAAGAAACACTCATGCACCATTAGTGGGAATGTAAATGAATGCAGCCACTATGGAAAACAGTATGCAGGTTCCTCAAAAAATGAAAAATATAGACCAATTATAGCATTCAGCAATTCTACTTCTGGGTGTATATCCAAAGGAAGTGAAAGCAGGATACTCAACAGATAAAATTACAGCCATGTTTATTGCAGCATTATTAACAATAGTCAAGCTACGGAATCAGCCTAAGTGCCCATCAATAGATGAAGAAGATACACACAGCCCTGGCTGATGTGGCTCAGTGATTGGCTGCTGACGTGCAGAGAGGTGTCACTGGTTCGAATCTCAGTCAGGGCACAAGCCTGGGTTGTGGGCCAGCCAGGTCCCCAGTAGTGGGCAGATGAGAGGCAACTACACCTTGATGTTTCTCTCCATCTCTTTCTCTCTCCCTTCCCCTCTCTCTAAAAATAAATAAATAAAATCTTTAAAACAGACAAAGTAGGTAAAATAGATTGTGTGTCTCTTTGCACAAGAGACACATAAATTTACCTGCTTTGCACATGTTATTTTTTTCATTCTACAAACCAGAAACTAACAAAAATAGTCACCTCTGATATGTGGGGGTACAAGGGGAAGGGAATAGAATCAAGTGGTCATCTCTGATTGTACTATTCCAGGCAGTTGTCTCTTCTGAAACCTGAAAATATTCTACATACATAAGATACAATTAAGTCATAAAAAATGAAAAACACACTCTGACATGAATATAAACAAATAAAAATAAATATGAGCTTATTGATATTCACTTACCATGGCTACATGGTAAAACCAATAAATATAAAAAGGAAATCTATGACTTTGCTAGGAATTGGGTTTTCCTATAAGGGACACAGGTACAACATAAATGACCCTGTAACATTACCCAGGTGGGAGATACCTGTGTGGATGGACAGGGTACATCCTCCCTGATACTAAGTGGTCCATAAGGGACAAAACCCCAGTAGCCCTGACTTAACTTAAACCGAGGTCATGCTTTCTAATTATTGTTCCCAATGAAAGGGACCCGAGACAGTGGGGGCCTCTGGTCCAGAGCAGGAGCACAGATGGGCCTAGGCTCCCTGTCATTCTACACAGTGCGACGGGGCCCAGCTAAGGAGTGCAAGTGTCTCAGAAAGCACAGCGGGAAAGGACTTTCCCTAGAGAAGTCTGGGGAGCTGAGCTGCATCTCCCAGGGAGGAGGCCCCAGCTCCCAGCAGGACTCAGGAACCTTGCAGGCAGCACACTTGCCCTGGAGAAGCTCCTCCCTCACCGGGACTAGCTCAGATTCAGAGTGGAGAGGGACCAGCACTTCCCTGGAGAGGAGGAGTCTCAGTGAGAGCAAAGGGGGCCTCCTTTTCTTGTCTGCTGTCCTGAGGGGACTGGAGAGGGCTGGAGTCTCCCTGCCCAGCCCTACTCTACAGCAGACCAGGTGACTGGCCCTCGTGGTGTCCTGCATCCAGGCAGCATCAGGACCCAGTGCGGGTGCAGCGCAGCCATACACACAGCATCTCAGAGTCAAGCCACATCCACCAGACCCAGGAGCCCACAGCGTGGGCGGCTGTGCTGCCAACCGTGGTGGCCCAGTTTTGGTGAAACGTCAGGGGGTGAGGTCAGAGGATTCTCAGGAAACCTCGGCCTTGGTTGCCAGAAGCTTAGGGCGTCCTGAGACCCCAGAGTGTGGGACGCCAGGTTCCTGAGATTCCCCTCAATGCTTTGACAAATGCTCACCAGAGTAGTGGCTCACAGCCTGGGGGATGTGTGATCTCAGGGTCCTGGAGGTTGGGAATCTGAAAGGGCTGAACTTGAGGTGTCCTCAGAACTGCCTTCTCTCCTAGAGACTCAAGGGAGCATCCCTCCCTCGTCTTCTATGGTCTAGAGACCCCGCATTGTGTGACAGGGACCCCTTGCTCCCTTGTCTTCAAAGCCAGTGGGGCCTTCTCAGGAGCCGACACTGGGACCCAGTGTTGCTTCCTCCTCAAGGTCTGAGGAGCCTGTGATGCCCTTGAACTTTATGAGTCACGCTGTCCTGGGGGTACATGTACCAGTGTCCACGTCCCTGCTCTCACTTCCCTGCATGGGAACCCTGCCGGGGGCTGCTGGAGGGAGGGAGATTCCCTGTTCAGGTTCTGAGGAGCAGCCCTGCAGATCCACTCAGAGGCTGCACCACTTTGTGTCCCCACCAGGGGGCCCAGGGGCTCCCTCTCCTCCACAGCCTTGCCACACTCGCTGTTTTTAGGTTATTATGTTTAATTTATTTTCAATTTCAGTCGACATACAGTATGTTATTTCAAGGGTACAGCATAGGGGTTAGACATTTACATACCTTATAAAATGATCCCCACAGTAAGTCTAGTGCCCACCATTTAAAAATGACTTTAACAATAGTTCTCCTTCGGAGTGTGATTTGATATCTCACTGTGGTTTTGGCCCACGTCCCTTCCCTGGTCTTTAGGTCCCAGTCACCTGAGACAGAGGGGACAGATGCAGAAGGCAGAGGCCATTCCAGGAGCAAAGGTGAGTGAGCAGGGGCCCAGAGCAGGTGCAGTTCCACAGGTGACAGGTGTGGGCCGGAACAAAGTCTTCAGAAGCACATACCCAGTCCCCAGAAAGCAGGTGAGAATTTGAGGCTCCAGGAGGAGGAAGAGGGAGGCAGAGGCTGCAGGGACCTGGGGCCTGTCTGAGATCTGGGAGAGAAGGGAGACCCGGGCAGGAGTGGGGCAGGGCTGTGAGGGTCAGGTCTGGAGCCAAACCCTGGAGAAGGAGCCAGACCACACAGGAGGCCTGGTCCCCGCTGCTCCTGCAGCCTTCTGAGGACAGAGTCCCGTGCACACGGCAGCCTCACCAAGTTCACTGTGAAACTCACAGAATGGGCGTGGCTCTGGGTCTCTTGGGCTCCAGTGGGAGCCTGGGGCCCTGGGGGGAGGCGGGTCCCCCTGGGGCCTGGAGTCTAATTTCTCTGGTGTTCACTTTCTTGTCTCCATTCTTGTGGGGGGTGTGGTCACCTGTGCCAGATATGTCCAGCCTCTGCCAGTATCACCACCAGGATCAGCAACACCACACCAGACAGGCCCATGCGAACATAGTTCCCCACAGTGTAATTCTGGGAGGCAGGGGCTGGAAGCAGAGGACAGGGGGTCACTGACAGACAGGTAAGGCTTGGGTGAGCCCAGGACCTACCAGACAGAACTCCTTCTCCATTAGACAGGACTTGTCCCTTTGAGCACTCCCCCTGGGCACTCTCCCCTGAGGACTTAATATTTTAGGAGCCTGCTCCTGTGGGCTGGGCAGTGAGTTCAGGGGTTGTTCCTGGGAGTGAGAAAGAACTGATGTTTCTCTCCTGTACCTTCTCACCCTCCCTTCCCTGGGAACCCTCAGCTCCTGCCCTCCCCACCTGATGATGCCTGGGCCGCACCCCCAGGCTTCACTACCAGCCACCTACAGCGCCCCAGTGTAGGGCACAGCTGCAAACTGAGACTCACTCACGGATCCAGGATGAGTCTCCCCTCCTGACTCTCACACCCCCAGGCTGAACTGGCTTCTTCCTCTAGAGGATGCAAATTGTCCCTGCCTCCTGAGTATCCACCTGTCAAGAGAGAAGCAGGACTTCTCCCCACTGCCCACTCCCCAGCAGAGCTCCAAGGAGGGGATGCCCCAGGCTGAGGTCCCCACTCCCCAGCCCAGGAGGGGCTCCTGTGAGGGGGAAGGAGAAGCCCTGAGCCCAGGTTCCTCCTTGGCCTGTGCCTCTCAGCCTGGCCCTGCTGCTCCCACAGCATCTACATCCACCCTCTTTCTCTACAACTCTCAGTACAGAGAACACCCCCTGGACTCCCAGGAAAGGGGACAGATACGTGTGAGGACAGCACATTGGAATTCTCCGTGTCTATGTGTCTGAGAGGCAGGACACCCCTCAGAATGTCCTGTCACCCTGCATACATTAGCACAGACCCTAGTCCAAAGAGAAACAGGGTGGGTGAGAGCCACCTCACTTGGCCACATGGTCAGGAGGTCCTGAGGGATAACCCTACCTATTAGGACCACTGTGTGTCCCACAGTCTTCCAGGTCAGTGAGGGATCATAGGTCAGGATAAACTGGACATGCCCACTGACCCAGGGGAGTCTGAGTCACAGCTGCATAAAGAGCAAAGGGAGAGACAATAGCAGGTTTTAAAGGAAGAATTCCCCCCTCCTTTGCCCCACTCCTTGAGCCAGACACTTAAACCCTGACTCCAGGACCTCTGAGGAGCTGACCCCACCTACAGAACACATAGTCTCATCCCTGAGGTCCCCCAAAGCACCTTCTAGCCCTTGTCAGGGACCCCATAAACCACATGACTTATGCAGTGGTGGATGGACCACCCATAGGGGGCACACTGCCTAGGGTCCCCATTGAGTCTGCCCAAGAGCACAAAAAAGGCTGAAAACCATTCTGAGTTAAACGACCAATGGTCCCTTGAAGGGATTCTGTCCCTGAAAGTACGCTTTTTTTCCAGCCCTGCAGGGACAGATCAGCCCACCCCATGCTGGGGCTCAGTGTCCAGACCATCATGGTGTTTAGAGGGGACCAAGTTTGCAGGGACCTGAGTCAGGTGTGAAGGCCAAGGGACAGGAGTGCTAAGGGGCAGGGGATCCACAGGGCTGAGGGCCAGCAGGAGGGCATGGAGCCTGGGACAGAGGACAGGGGTGGGGACAGGACGCAGGGACCTGGAGCAAACCTGAGGGTGGTGTGGAGCTGTCCTCACTTGTCACCATCAGCTCCAGGGGCTCACTGAGCTCAGACCACACAGGCTCTTGGCGATAGCAGCACTGATAACTCCTGGCAGAGTCATCACTCACTGCGGAGATGTGGAATCTGGCCTCTGTCCCATTAGAGCCACGTAGAGGCACCATAATCTGATCCCCAAGGACAGATCTTTTCTCATCCTCCAGACGGAATAGGTCAGCCCAGGCTGGGCCCCGGCACACGATGGTCACAGGCTGTCCCTGGGGGATCACAGGTCCTGGCTCAGCACTGATGGAGGGTTCGGGCAGGATCCCTGGGAGGAAACAGAGCAGATCTCAGGGTCCCTCAGGGGGAGGTCACCAGTTGTCACCAACCCCCATTTTCAGGGTTCAATTCCATGCCTTTAACAAACTTGAAGAGCTGTGCAACCATCCCCTCAAACCAGTTTTCAAAATTCCACCAACCTTTCCCCAAACACCACCCCCCACAACCACTCCAGGGGACTGTGGACATTCATCACTGCAGAGTGACCCCCCTGACCCAGAACCCCGAGTCCTGGTCACACATTGGGCTTTTCTCAGGGTGACACAGGAGGAGTCAGAGCAGCCTGGGGTCCTGGGCACTACTCCCTGCCAAGGGTCACTTTCTAGCAGACAGAGACACTAGGAGGCAGGCAGAGTTTGAGGGTGACAGGTCACCTGTGGGGACAAGGAAGCAGGAGTCTCAGATGTGGGAGTGATCTGGGCTGGGACTAAAGGGCAGCTGGGAGGCACTGAGGGGACCAAAGAGGGCTGCAGAGCTCCACTGAAAGTCAGGGGCAAGGGGGAGAGGTGGTGAGAGGGAGAGGAGTGGAGCTCCACCCAGATCTGGTCACATGACCCCAGTGGGTGGGGATTTCTATCCCCAAGGCAATCCTCTCACAGCAGCACTAAGCTCTGTTCCCACTACATTCTCTGCCTTCCTCGAAACCTGTTCCCATTTCTAGTATTGAGGGTCCTGAGACCCCATGTGTGCCAAGTGGCTGGGGAGGGTGGAAGAGAGGACTGGTATCCCTGAAACAGGAAGATGGCACCCACAGCACAGGATCCCCAATAGAAGCAGGCTCTGGACAGGGCTCCCACTAGTTCACTCCCTCCCTCCCTCCCTAATCCTTTCATCCACATCCTAGTTCCTCTCCATCCACCTACTGAGGGGCTCCATGTGGGACTGGCCCCACAAACATGAGACTCACACACAAGGACCTGCCTCATTGCCTGGAGGGAAGAGGGAGCACAGAGACTGATGAAGGGATCACGCAAACCCACAGCCACACACCCTGAGTGAGTGTAGGAGTCCTTGGGTCCAACGAGGGACAGCTAACCTGTCTGGGAGTCCCAGGGAAGAGGTACAGAGCTGAAGGCCAATGTGAACCAGCCCAGCCCACTGAGATGACAGTCAGCTTGGGAGGAGGTCAGGTCCAGTGAGACAAGGGTGTTTGTGGAAGTAATGGAAAGGCTGTGTCTTGGCTCATCAGTGGGGCAGACAGGGTGAAAACAGAATCATCCAGACACAGAGAGGGGCCTGGGTCTCATCCTAGCTGAAGATAAGCCATCAGAGGACTCTAAGGAATATTAATACTTTGCCAGAAAACACAACATATATTTTAAAAGTGAGATTAAAAAGATAGACTCACCCTTCTGCATGTGGATGGACTGGGCCAGACAGAGCACTGGAGGAGAAGCTGTGGTGAGAAAGATGCCCAGCGCCCGGCCTCCTCCCTGGGCTGCACTCAGGGGCCCTGATGGAGGCAGGGCTCAGCCCCTGTGAATGTCCAGCTCCCTCCTCAGCATTACCTCTGAGTACAGCCCTCTTCTTGCTCTGAGTTTCAACAAAGCCCCAGTGCCCTTTCCCAAACAGGTACTCAGTCTGAACCTGTCCCCACACCCAGGTACCCACTTCCAGGACTGAACCTTCCCTGATCAGACTTGGGTCAGGGCACAGAGCTGAGGGATCAGACCCCCAGGAGGGACCATGAGTCCCCTGTGCTGCAGTCAGGACTCAAAAGGGATGAAACCCCTCCCTAGGCTCCCACAGTCTCTGATCCGGGACATTATGCCTCCATTCCAGAACTCACTGAGGGCCAGGAGGGAGCTGCAATGGGGGTCCATGGCCAGACCTGCAGCTGCACAGTCCTGGAGCTGGAGAATGAAGGACAGAGCGTGAAGCCGGCACAGTGGTCAGGAAGTGTGGGGTCAGGTGTTTTCCAGGAGTTGCTACATCAACGTCCTGGAGCAAAGGGGAAGAGCTAATGCAGATGGTCCTGAGTGCAGGTTGAGTACAATTCCTATGAGACATTGAGAGAGACTGGAGCCCTGCCCAGTGCGGGGGGCTGTACCCATGACCAGGGACCAGGGGACTGCAGCAGCGCTGAGACGGTGCCCAGAACAGTGGTGGGGCTGCAGGAGAGGCCGATGGCTGTGCTCACCAGGGCTGGGTGGTGATTGTGTTCACAGATCACAGGCACTGTCTGTGGTCGGTGCTGTCAGAGGTGCACACAGGTCCACCTCGTCACCCAGCCCTTTCTGCACCCACTTTGAAGACAAGACCCTTGGAGGCCCTCTCATACGTGCTGGGAAGGTGAGGGCAGGATGCGGGATGGTCTCTCTTCTCTAAGTGGTGCCGGAAAGACAGAACTCGGGTGAGCCTTGGTGTGTTAGGCAGAAAGGACACACCTTCTCTAGAGCAGGTGTGGGGTTTACCTGTGATACTTCCTGACAGTCACTCTTACAGAGAAAAGGGGCATCTCCCTCCCTCCCTTTTTCATGAGGTCCTGTGAATACATTACACATTCCTAGTACTCCTGATAGCAAATGCCCAAACTTACCTTTCTGTTGGGCAGACAGAGAGCTGCCACCAGAGCACCTGATGGCCTGCCCTCTAACGACCAACACAGGTGGCTTCTCTGTCCTCAGCTGCCTGTACTGCCTCCTGTCTGACCCATCACCTCCCCACCCAGCCAGCCCCCTCATGGGTCAGCACTTGGCAGACACGCCCCCATTCCCCCATACACAGCAAGGCCCTCACCAGCCCTGGGCTCTGGGGCAGCCTCCTCTGAGGGAGGGGCTCTCACTTGCCAGCACTTCCTCCTCAGGACACACCACCTGCTGTGGGTCTTGGGGCCCTGTTTCCTGTGTCCCCACATTCCTGTCCCTGACAACAGATGGAAGCAGTGTGGTTGCTTCTAAAGGAAAGACCACTTTCTGCATTTGTTTATTGGCAGGATGAGACCACTGGCAGAATGACAGGTGACTTGTGTAAGGCAACATCTCAAAGGGACTATGCCTCAGAGATGAGATCCCAGACCCTCTGCCGCTGTTTCATGGAGTATGTGCAGCTGGGAAAACCACCAACTTCCCTGCTTTTGTGTTCAATTGTTGTTCTTGTGTGAATATCTCTGATATATCTTTGTCAATGGAAGACAAGAGAAACTGAGAGAAACCCAATGTGTCTGGCCATAAGGGGTGACACAGAGCAGGGCAGGAGGTGACTAGAGGTAGACATGTCCAGAGGAATCACATTGATAAAGGATCTGATGTGTCTGCAATCCAACCAGAAGTGAGGGTTTCAGATGTAAAGGAGAGTCATCAATATTTTCTCTAAGTTCACCTGCAGGACAGAACAGGGCAGTGGTGGCAGGGAGAGTCCCCTGGATACCTCAGGAGCTGCTGTGGAAGGGAAAGTGAGGGAGCTCAGATTGGGGACACAGACCCTAGCAGAAACGTGAGGACATGTGAGGACACGTGGAGGGAAATCAGCAGGGATCTGGGATGGAGGGACATGAGGAGGGACATACAGGGAATCTAGGGTGACTGTGTTCCCTGGTGCTGGACCCTCGACCCTCACTGAGAAAACAGAAACAGACTGATGAGGAGTCAGGTGTGAATGGGTGAGAACCAGGGGTCCAGTTTTGCATTTATTAGCTCTGAGGGGTCTGGAGACCAATGTGACATGCCGGGGGTGTTTGCAGCCATCAGGAGAGACTTGGGAGGGACATTCCTCAACTTGAACCACAGTACAGTCCCTTCTGGAACCCACAGGACTCCAGTCAGAGTGGCCCTTGGGATGGGAGGGATTAGAGGTGTAAAAATGAGTCCTGTCCTAGGTGTGGCTCACCCAGCACAGGCAGAGAGTGCCAAGCAAAGGCCCAGGGTAAATATGTCCACTGTTTAGTCTCCTTAACTGGGGGACAAGGTCAGTGTGCTGCAGGGAAAGACTTTGTCTCCACTGCAACTTCCAAATCACCCTGATCCACATGACTCCCAGAGGGCAGGTTCCTTCCTCTGAGGGGTGTCACTCAAGTTCCCAGGCACTTCCCACCCAGACACCCCATGGCCTTTCTGTATTGGGCCTGTCCCTTCCTGGGGTCAGAACAGGTTAAAGGACCTAGTCCCCCCTCTGGACACTCAGGCCCAGGTGCCCGAGATTGGCAGAGCCTGCATGACTGATTCTTTCCCAAGGTCCAGAAGGTCCTGGACTAGACACTGGACTGAGGTGGGGCTTGGACCCCACCCTGAATGCCACCCGTTTTTTTCCCAGGGATCTGCCCCTGTGTTCCAACTCACAGAGGTCCAAGAGGGGGTGGTATTGGGGTCTATAACCAGCCTCTCACTGTCCTCTTTGTCCTTGTCCTCTGGGTGGGAGGACAGGGCCCTACAGGTTAGGAAATGTGCAGTGGCCACACCATGGGCTCATTTCTGTAGTATCACAGGAAGTGAGTCTGGGTGCCCCCAGGCCCAACTCTAACATCCCCTCCTTGGGTCCAGAGAGGTTTTGGTTTCTGACAGGTTTTTCTACTGAGATATTTCATAACCAGGCTGAACCCATGTCAATCTAAAGGCCAATGTATTAACTGCATCACAGATGGATAAAGATAGAGATATAAATAAAAGATAGCTATATGGACTTGAGCACCTTACACAAAAATAAATTCAAGGTGGATAAAAGACTTAAATATAAACTGTGACACCATTAATGTCCTAGAGGAGAACGTAGGTAGGAAATTCTCAGATATTTTACACAGAAACATTTTTACTGACATGTCCCCTAGAGCAAGGGACATAAAGGAAAGAATAAATAAATGGGATCTCATCAAAATAAAAAGCTTCTGCACAGCGAAAGAAAACAGTATTAACATAAAAAGAAAACCAACTGTATGGAAAACATATTTGCCAATAATACCTCAGACAAGGGTTTAATCTCCAAAATATATAAAGAACTTACACGACTCCACTCTAAGAAAACAAGCAACCCAATTAAAAAATGGACAAAGGAATTCAACAGACACTTTTCCTAGGAGGACATACAGAGGATCCAGAGACACATGAAAAGATGCTCAATATCACTAGCTATCAGAGAGATGCAAATTAAAGATACCACTTAACACCAGTCAAAATGGCCTTTATAAACAAAGCAACAAACAACAAGTGTTGGAGAGGTTGTGGAGAAAGGGGATCGCAGTGCACTGTTGGTGGGAATGCAGACTGGTACAACCACTATGGAAAACAGTATGGAACTTCCTCAGAAAACTAAAAATGGATCTGCCTTTTGACCCAGCAATTCCACTGCTGGGACTATATCCTAAGAACCCTGAAACACCAATCCAAAAGAACTTATGTACCCAATGTTCGTAGCAGCACCATTTACAACAGCTAAGTGCTGGAAGCAACCTAGGTGCCCATCAGTAAATGAATGGATCAAAGATCTATGGCACATTTACACAAAGGAATTCTATGTAGCAGAAAGAAAGAAGGAACTCCTACCCTTTGCAACAGCATGGATAGAACTGGAAAACATTATGCTAAGCAAAATAAGCCAGGCAGTGAAAGAAAAATACCATATGATCTCACCTTTAATAGGAACCCAAGTAACAAAACAAACAAACCAGCAAAATACAGTCAAAGTCACTGAAATAGAGGCTAGGCTGACAGGCGGGCAGGCAGAACCATACAGCTCTCTTGAGAACAGAGGGAAGAAAAGAGGGAATTTCAGGGGAGAATGGGAAGGGTTTACAGGAACAAATATAAAGGACACATGGGCAAAAACTAGAGGGCTGGAAGTGGGAGGCAGGTGGGGAGGGATGAGTGGGTGGGCTAGAATGGGAACAAAAGGCAGAAAACTCTACTGGAACAATGACTAAAATAAAGTAAATAAATAAAAAAATAGGTGTATGGAGATACAAAGAGATGATAAATGATAGATAGGTAAAGAACAGATACATAGATGATAGATAAACATGTACATAGAGGGGATGGGTGGGTAGATAGTGAAGCAGAGGACAGGCAGATGGATAGAAAAGTAAATGACAGGTAGATAGAGAAATGATAGGTACATGGATACATATGTACCATAGATAGATATATACATACTTAGATACTTATGCAGATACATGGATACATAGATAAATATATGCATTGAAAGTTACATAGATACATACATAGACCAATGGTTACATACATAGACACATAGTCTCTTTGATACATAGATAGTAGCATAGATACGTAAAGAATTAGGTACATAGATAGATACTTAGATACAGAGAGAAATACATGGACAGCATAAGCAGGGAAACTTATTGGCTTGGCTTCCGGTTCCACAGGTTGACCAGTCCCTACAACACACTTATGCAAACACTTCGATTCCCAGGTGCAGAAGGCAAACCATACAACTCTCTTGAGACCTTCATGTTATTAATGGGGGGAGGGGCACAGAGAGGAGAGTGGCACACTGGAAGGACACTCAGTCTGCCCCTTCATGCTCTCCAGGGCAGGTGGCAGCCTGCTTGGCCACAAAGTCCTGTCACTGTGTCCCTCTGTGTCCTGTGACCCTGGACTGTGCTTGGCACACACCTGCCTTCCAGCTGGATTGGTTCTTTCTAAACTAAAAGCCTGTAAGTCTACAGAAGCAAATGCACTAATGAGTCAGTCATGTTGTCCAAAGATTTGTGGGTGGAGCTTCATGGAAGGTTGTGTTTGCAAAGAACCAGATGGGTCTGGGGGCTGGAGTTCTAACTGGATGCTGTGGGCATCTCTAGGTCATTTAAGGCACAGATCACAGGCACTGTGTGGAGAGAAGGTGGACTCCTAGCCTCTGCCCCTCACTAGAGGGAGTCCCATTATTACAACCTCACAGGGAAGGACCCAGCCCCATGAGAGGGAGAGTCAGGACCAGAAGGGAAAGACCTGAGACCTCAGGGGCACAGCCCAGGGTGAGACTGCTGGGCTGCAGCACCAAGCAGGCAGTCTCCCGGGAAGAGCTGGGGTCAGTGGAAAGGAGCTTCCTCATTGTCCTGGGTCAGCCAGGTGAGGTCTGATAGTGAAGAGGAGGTGTCTGCAGGGCCTGCTGTCATGTCCTCCTGGATGGGGTGGGGCTCAGCCTCTCCAAGGGAACAGAACTGCCACTCTCCCCAGACATGAGCTCAGCCCAGGGGGCACCCAGTCCTGTGGTCACTGCTGCTCAAGGAGAAGAGCATTGGGCTCTGGGAGTGTGCCCTCCCTCCTGGCACCATGTGCATTATGATCCTGGGCCTCAATGATACCCATTCTTTGCCCCATGTTCCTGAGCCCCAGTCACCCAACACCTCCAAGAAACAGAAGGTTCAGACCACAGGATCTGCCCTGGGGAAGAACCCAGGAGGTGAAACAGTGGATTCGGGATGGTGTGGCCACAGCAGTCTGTGTCCCAAAGTGCTGAAGCAAACCCAGCATCTGTGGTCAGATGTATAGCACTGACTCTCCTGGGTCTCCAGCGTGCAGATGACAGCTGGTGGGACCTGCAGGTTCTGAGACCTGTGAACCTATTCCTGTACTGAATCCATCCTTCCTCTCCTGTGTCTCTAGGTAACATACATACCAGAACCCACTGGGTCTGTGTCCCTGGAGAGCCCAGACTAATGCACTAATAGATCAAAAGTAACAAAGAGACGGAAAGGCACAAATTCAATCCATGAGGGAACCCCAAGAAAATAAAGATAAAAATGGAGAACTGTAAAGCAAATTCCTGGAGGAAAATCACCCCTGAGTAGGAATGGCACATGAAAGATCAGCACAATTTAAAACTGAGGAGGAAGGCTGGACACCCACCCTCTCTGAGCCAGGATAGAAACCTCCTGGCTAGTGAGATGTTTAGCCTGTCCTGAGGTCAGAGGTAGCCAACCTTCGGCAACTTAGTGAGTATTTCAGTGCCTAGTTTTTAAAAACAAAACAGAGGAAAGACTGCAGGTACTATGGAGGTTGAACCAGGTACTTTGAACCAGGACTCAATATGCTAGTGTTTCACAGAACTACAGTAGCAACTGCATTTTTAAAAGAGCTGGCTGAGTTTGGTTTGAACTTCTAAAATATTCTTTTAATACAGAATAACGTTTTTAATACCAGGCTGTAACAGGCATGCAAGTTTCTTTTTCCTATTTAAAAAAGCTAAATTATTGCTAACAAGTGATTGTCGCCCCCTGGTGGTTCTCAGTGTAAAGAATCCTTTTAACCTGATGGGGCAGCCAGTTTGACCTGGTAATGTGAGCGTGGTGAAACCAGCTGGGCAACATTAGCTGGGTCTCTGGAAACAAGAGTTACAACTGTGCTTCACCAAGCTGGTGGGTTGTAGGAGGGGCCACCTGGTGAGTGAACCTCCTGCATGTTCAGTAGGGGTGCCCAATGTCCAGGTCTTGCCTACAGGAGAAATGTGTTGATGACTTTCAGGAAGGAAATAGTTTAATAAGGAGGTCCTCCAAGTGGCCGCTACCGGCCTTTGCAAAGGTGGTGTCCTGTGTCTCGAGGTGCAGAGGCTAGGTGGTCCTGAAGTCAGTGTCTGGGGAAGGCTGCATACATGCTGGACTCAGCTGTGGGCTCCATGAGCTGTGGGGACTCGGGGCAAGCTGCTCTCTGTGTGAGGGCCCACTGGTCCAGCTGGGCATATGTCACCTCCTCAGGGTCTCCTGCAGCAGGACTCTGAGGGACAGACCCAGGATAAGTTAGTGTGGCCGAGGCTGAGATGTAGGGGCTGGGAGAAGGAAAGATTGGGAAGACAGCCTCCACTTGGCGCCTGTCATCCCACCTCCCCAAACTCCATTGTGTGGCCTCCTTCCACACAGAGTCCCAGCTGGTCTGTGTGACCCACAGAATGTGGCAGAAGTGAGGGCCTGTCACCTCCTAGGAGGGGCCACAAAAGACATTGTGGCTTCGGCCCATCCACTCTGGGGTCCCGCCCTCTGGGGAGGCCAGCTGCCATGGAGGAGTCCACCTGCCTGCAGAGGAACTGAGGCCTCCCATCTCCAGCCCTGCAGGGGTGCCACCCTACATGTGGACCATGCAGCCCCGGTCTAGCCTTCAGCTGGACACAGCCCTGGTCGTCTGCACAGCAACCTCATGAGAGTCCCTGACCCAGCACCACCCAGCACATTCCATCTGCTTCCAAATCCTCACACAGGATGCTGGGATGATTTTGTGAACCTGTTAAGGTGGGGGTGCTCTGCTACCCAGAAACCAGTGGCAAGTACTAGGACTCACTGGGCTGTGCATGTCTCCATTTTCCTCAGGAAGTGCATCCACTGTGGTGGCCACATCTGGAGGGGAGAAAACAGTGGTCAGCTCTTGGGAGTGGACCTTTGAAGCCAAATGTGCCTGAGAATTCACAGGGTCTGATTTCATACCCTCCTCCTCCAGAAGAGCCCACAATGTTCCCAGACACCCTCCCACCTCCACTGCTTCCAGAATGGCACTGAATGCCCATTTCCCTTCTCCCAAGAGGTCCCCTCTCCTTGTCCCTTTACCTGCTGGGCTCTCTGTGATGTTATCTGTCGGGCTGAGCCTGAGGAGAAAGAACAAATGAGCATCGGGGGGCACCTGGAGGCAGAGAACTGGAAGAGGGGGTGCATGGTCACTCCCAGGGGGCTCTTACCTCTCCTGGGGCCTTGGTTCCTCATCCTTGCTGCTGGGGAGCCCTGAGGACAGTCAGGGGTGTGAATTAGGAGGGATGTTGCCTTCCCAGCACCCCAAATGCCTTCCCACATGACCTCACCCTGACCCTGAGACTCACCACGTTTTTTCTGACGATGATGGTGGACTAAGAAGAGGGCCAGGAGGAGGAGACAAAGCAGAGAGGCCACACAGATCCCAACAAGAATATAAAGATGCTCTGGTGACAGAACTGGGGGACCAGGGGAGATGGAACCAAGGATATTAGCAGTGTGCATTTACTGAGCACCTACCATGCATACCATGAACTGCATACCATGCCTATGCTGGGGGCTTGGCATGTTCTCACCCACATGAATAATCTCTCATATGCCTCAGAGTCCTGCCACACGGGAACCATCACCCCCATTTTACAAACAGGGGTCCTGAGTGTAGACGTCCCCTGTCCACAGAAAGATGGGGTAGCTGGAATGTGATGGGCACCAAAACCCTTTCTTTTCCTACTCCAAGAGGCAGGCTCCAGGTCCATGGCCCTCTGACCCCCATCACTCACTGCTGGTCTTAGTGTCCAGGGAATTTGTCTGCGTGTGTCCTAGGAGTGAGGAATCAGGAAGACATGCATCGAAGGCCAGAGCTGGGCAGAGGAGGCTCTGAGTGTCTTTGCTCCCCACCCAGGGGGTCTCCCTGGCTCTGGGACCCTCACCTGTTCTCTCCAGTGTCGCTCTGCTGGTGAAACTTTCTTTGAGGATGGAAATACCGTATGTCAGTTCTGTCCAAATTGGTAACAACATTTTATTGAACCCATTGATATTGAAGTTAAATAAATGTGTCTATGCATCAAATACATATATGTATATATGTGTATATTTATATATATATACATATATGTAAATTTTTTAAATTAATCCTTCACCTTGTTCACCCAGTCCCCAACCCCTCCCATCTGACAGCTGTCATTCTGTTCTGTGTATGTGCCTCTGTTTCTATTTTTTTTTTTACATTATTTTGTTCATTAGATTCCACATAGAAGTGAGGTCATATGGTATTTGTCTTTCTCTGACTCTCCTAGCCCAGGGCAGGGAGATGGACCCCAGAAACTGATCCCAACCACAGAGCTCCCCAAAACCCCTCTACTCTGAAATCTCTGCTCACCAGCTGTGGAGGGGGGCTTTGTGAGTGTGGTTGAGGTAGAGCTGATGACTCTGGGGGCTCCTGTGAACAGGGCAGGAGAAGGCTGATACTATATGGGAGCTGCCTGGGTTCCTTCCCAATCAGCCTGGCCCCTCTCCACCCTGATCGTCCACCCACAGGCCACATCAGTCCATCACTCAGTCCCAGATGACTCCTCACATTCCAGCAAAATGGGGAACAGGAGTCAGGGAGAGACCCCTGATCAGTTCTGCTGAGGGCAAGTGATCACTCCTCTCACCTCCCACCACCATGCTGCTCCTGACCCCATGAGTCAGCAAGGAATTGATCCTGTGAAACCCAGGAGCACATGGAGGGGGTCAGAGTGTCCCTGATGGACTCTGAGTCCAGGACATCTCAGGCCTGAACACACCGGGAAATGCAGCTTCAACCTCCAAATTCCTCAGAGCAACATCCAGACTGGACATGGCCCCTGGACCCCATGAGTTTCCAAAAAGGATCAATCACGCATACAGAACTCATTACCTGGGGCCCCACCAAGTCTGTCCAGGGAAAAAAGACAGTAAAACTCCATCCTGCAGGGTGTGACACCTGTCTCCTTGATGGGGTCTGTCCCCAACTGACCTCTGGGAGGTCATCCACTCCCCATCCGGCCCTACAGGGTCCACAACAATGCTGGGCTCAGTGTCCTGGCCATCATGGTGTCCAGATGGGTCCATTGCTCCAGGACCTTGAGCCCAGTGTGAAGGACAAAGGACAGGAGTGCAGAGGGGCAGGGGAGCCACAGGGCTGGGGGCCAGTGGAAGGGCAGGGAGCCTGGGACAGAGGACACAGCTGGGGACAGGGTGCAGGGACCTGGGGCAAACCTGAGGGTGGAGTGGACATGTCTTCTTCTGTCACCTTCAGCTCCAGGGTGTCACTGCGCTCAGACCAGCTGTGCCCTTTGTGATAGAGGCAGCGATAACTCCTGGCAGTGTCATCACTCAATGCCTGGATGTGGAATCTGGCCTCTGTCCCATGAGGGCCACGTGGAGGTGTCCCAATCTCATCCCCATGGGCAGATCTGTTCTCATCCTCCAGACGGAATAGGTCAGCCCGAGCGGGGCCCCGGCACACGATGGTCACAGGCTGTCCCCAGTGGATCACAGGTCCCGGCTCAGCCCTGATGGAGGGTTTGGGCAGGACCCCTGGGAGGAAGCAGAGCAGATCTCAGGGTCCCTCAGGAGGAAGTCACCAGTTATCACTGACCCCCTTTTTCTGGGTTCACTTCCATGTTGTTAGCAAACTTGGAGAGCTGTGCAACCATCCCCACAACCCAGTTTAGACCACCCCACCATCCTTTCTCCAAACACCACGCCCATACCCACTCCAGTGACTGTGAATCCTCATCACTGCACAGTGACCCCCCTGACACAGGACCCCGAGTCCTGGACACATATTGGGCTTTTCTCAGGGTAACATGGGATGGGGCAGAGCAGGGTGGGCTCCTGGACACTACTCCCTGCCCTCACTTTCTAGGGGACAAGGATGCCTTGAGGGGGCAGACGGTGAGGGTAATGGGTCACATGTGAGGACAGGGAAGCAGGCATCTGAGGAGTGACCCGGGCGGGACTGAAGGGCAGCTGGTGACACTGTGGGGACCAAGGGGGGCTGCAGAGCTCCACTGGAAGTCCAGTGGGGAATGGAGCTCCACCCAGATCTGGTCACATGACCCCAGTGGGTGGGGATTCCTGACTCCAAGGCAATCCTCTGAGCAGCACTCAGCTCTGTTCCCACTGCATTCTCTACCTTCCTTGCAGCCTGTTCTCATTTCTATTATTGAGGGTACTGGAAATACATGTGTGCCACGTGGCTTGGGAGGGATGAGGAGAGGGGTGGAAGCCCTGACCCAGAAAGATGTCACCTACAGCACAGGATCCCCAATAGAGGAAGGCATTGGCCAAGGCTCCCCACACATTCACTCTGTCCCTCCCTCGCTCATTCTTTCATCCACATCCTAGTTTCTCTCCATCCATCTACAGAGGGTCCCATGTGCCAATGGCCCCACAAACACGAGACTCACACGGAACTGCCTCCTTGTCTACAGGAAAGAGAGAGCGCAGAGTCTGGTGGAGGTTATCATGGAAACCCACAGCTACACGCCCCAGGTAAGTGTGGGAGTCTCAGATAAGGGACAGCTGACCTCGTGTGGGAAGCACAGGGAAGAGGTGCAGATCTGAGACTCGAAAGCCAAAGTGTGGCCTAGCCAAGGTCAGCGAGAGGAGAGTCAGTCTGGGAGGAGATCAAGAGACCTGGAGAAGGGTGTTTGTGGAAGTGAAGGAAGGCTGCATCTCCACAGAGCAGTGGGTCAGACAGTGTGGGAACAGACCCATCCAGACAGAGAGAGGGGCCTGGGTCTTGTCCTAGCTGAGAGTTAGCTGTCAGAGGACTCTGAGAAATATTAATATCTTGTCAGAAAACACCCTGGCTGGCGTAGCTCAGTGGATTGAGCACGGGCTGCGAACCAAAGTGTCGCCGGTTCGATTCCCAGTCAGGGTACATGCCTGGGTTGCAGGCCATGACCCCCAGCAACCACACATTGATGTCTCTCTCTCTCTCTCTCTCTCTCTCTCTCTCTCTCTCTCTCTCTCTCTTTCTCTCTCTCTCTTTTCCCTCCCTTCCATCTCTAAAAAATAAATAAAATCTTTCAAAAAAAAAGAAAACACAACATACATGAACATGAAATTTTAAAAGCTAGACTCACCCTCCTGCATGTGGATGGTCTGGCCCAGGCAGAGCACTGGAAGAGAAGCTGTGGTGAGGAAAACGCCCAGCGCCCGGCCTCCTCCCGGGGCTGCACTCAGGGGCCCTGATGGAGGCAGAGCTCAGCCCCTGAGAATGTCCAGCTCCCTCCTCAGCATTCCCTCTGAGCACAGCCCTTCTTCTTGCTCTGAGTTTCAACAAACCCCAATCCCCTCTCCCAAACAAGTACTTAGTCTGAAACTGCCCCCACACCCAGGTACCCACTTCTAGGGCTCAGCCTTCCATGGTCTGACTTGGATCAGGGCCAGAGCTGAGGGGTCAGATTCCCGAAAGGGACCATGAGTCTCCAGGGTTGTAGTCAGGACTCAAAAGGGTTGGAGACACCTCCCCAGGCTCCCACCCCCTCTGTCCCAGGACATTATCCCTTCATTCCAGCACTCACCGAGGACCAGGAGGGAGCTGGGGCGGGGTCCCATGGCCAGACCTGCAGCTGCACTGTCCTGGAGCTGAAGGGTGAAGGACAGAGCCTGCAGCTGACACAGTGGTCAGGAAGTGTGGGTCTGGGGTTTTCTCGGGGATTGTTACATCAATGTCCTCATGCAAAGGGGAAGAGCTAATTCCAGATCATTCTCAGTGCGGGTTGGGTACATCATGTTACAGAAACTGACAGAGACTGGTGGGAGCTGCACCAGCGAGACAGATGGCACCCGTGTGCAGGGCTCACTCAACAGGAACGGGGTCACTAGGTGCCTGTCTGCAGGACCCCAGAGCACTCTCTAGGGAATGATCTTCCTTCTGAAACTTCAGTCTCAGCTTCATGGTGACCTCAGGGACCCCAGGAGTTAAAGACTGGCTAGATTTTTAGGTCAACAAGTGGGGCCAGCTCTTGTACTTTGGCCATGTCTCCTCTGTTCCTGTTTGTTTTTAAGATCTTATTTATTTCTAGAGAGAGCGATAGGGGAGGAGAGAGGGAGAGACACATCAATATGTGACAGAAACATTAATCATTTGCCTTTTGCATGCACCCAAATGGAGACCCATCCTGAAACCCTAGCAGGTGCCCTGACCAGGAACTGAACCAGAGATTCTCTGGTTTGTGGGACAACACCCATCTCCCTGAGCCCCACCAGTCAGAGCCTCTTTGTTTTTTGTTGGTTCATTTTCCACGGTTTTCTCTGAGGACAGAACTGATGAAGGAGATGAGGAAGTGTCTAGACAATTCCCGCATCCTCCCCAACATTTCATTCTGCCCCCTGGCAGCCATGCCCCATCACAAACCTGTGCTTTCTGTCTTCCCTGAGGGTGAAAAGCAAGAGGAGATCAGTAAACATGTATTTATATGTGTCATCCCTCCAGTTGCTGGATTATTTTTACTCAAATAAATATTTTTAATTGATTTTCAATAGAGCAAGTTTTGGGGTTTTTTTGTTTTTTGTGTTTTTTTTTAAGATTTTATTCATCCATTTTTAAGGAGGGAAGGGGAGAGAGAGAGAGAGAGAGAGAGAGAGAGAGACATCAATGTGCGGTTGCTGGGGGTTATGGCCTGCAACCCAGGAATGTACCCTGGCTGGGAATCGAACCTGGGACACTTTAGTTCGCAGTCCGCGCTCAATCCACTGAGCTATGCCAGCCAGGGTTTCAAATAAATATTTGAGCTCACAGTTACTCAGAGGTCATGGGAGATGTTGGGGAAGGAGATGTGATGCGCAGTGTCCACTTCTCTCCCCTTTAGTTTGGGGACTGTCCCCAGCTGCTTCCTTTATTTTCCCAGCAATGGTCCTCTTTGGCATGGGTCTGGAGGCTGAGTTCCTACACAATTCTTATGGGAATAAAGCAGCATTGAGAGTTCAAGCTGTCCTGAGTGAGCTTCAACTCTCCCACAGACGTGTGGTCTTTTATTTTCTGAGGAGCTGTTGGTTCTTCCCATTGAGTTTCACCCAACACTGCCTTTGTGGAACCATAAAGAGGGAAGTGGCTTTGAAACCACACCCCATGTGGTGTCCTAGAGCTGGGGACTGCCTGAGCTGCATTCCCTCTTGCAGGAGAGAAATATGCTGGCCCTGTGGCCTCTCCTGATGCTCATGAGCCACAGGTCCACTGCATCTCCTAGAACTTCCAGCACCCAAGATCAAGACAAGGGCCCTTAGCAGCCCTCTCATGAGTGCTGGGGAGGGGAGGGTGGGATGCTGGATGGTCTCTGTTCTCTCAATGATGCCAAGAAGACAGAACTCTGGTGAGCCTTGGTGTGTAAGGCAGAAAGGACACGCCTTCTTGAGAGCAGGTATGGGGTTTACCTGTGATGCTTCCTGACAGTCACTCTTACAGAGAAAAGGGTCATCTCCCTTCCTTTCTCCCTGGGGTTCTGATCTGCATTCCAACTCACTGAGGCCCAGGAGGACAGTGGAATTGGATTACACCATCATCCTCTGACAGTCTTCGCTGTCCTTGTCTGTGGGGAGGAGGACAGGGCCTCGCAGGTCGGGAAGTGTGCAGGGGCCACCCCGTGGGCTCATTGCTGTGGTCTCACAGGAACTGAGTCTGGGTGTCCCCAGGCCCTACTCTAATGTTCTTGCTTTAGGTCCAGAGAAGCTCTGGTTTCTGAAAAGCATTTCTGCTGAGATATTCCATAACCATGCAGAGCCCATGTCTGCATACACATCATCTGGTATTAATTCATAACAGATGGATAAAGATAGAGACATAAATAAAAGATAAGTGTATGGAGATATAAATAGATGACAAATGATAGGAAGGTAAATAATAGTACATAGAAGATAGTAGACATATAGATAGAGGTGATGGATGCATAGATATAGATGTAGAGGACAGGTAGATTGATAGATAAGTCAATGATAGGTACATAGATAGATATCTACCATACATAGATATATACATACATAGATACATAGATAAATATACAGATTGAAAGTTACATAGATACATACATAGATCAATGGTTACATAGATAGACACTTCAATACATAGATAGTAACATACATACAAAATACTTAGATACATAAATAGATACTTAGATACAGAGAAAAATACATGGACAGTATAAGCAGATGTGCCTGACTCCAAGGACAGCCCTGGAGAATCTGTGGGAGACCAGGTGTGTGAGGGGAGAGACTCCTACAAGAGTGGGCAGTGGAGAAATCCTAATGATGACTGACAGTGTTATGGATGTTATGGATGCCATCTACTGACACTGGGGACTGTCACATACAATGAAAGAGAGTGAGTAGGAAAACATTAGAGGAAATTTAAATTAAGCATGTTTAAATATCTGTCAAAATAAAGAGGGATATTAAACATTTCAGGCAAGAACATAGATTATATTACAGAAGAATAGGACTGTTGAGCAGACTTAGAAACTTTAGAGATGAACACACAAGACAATGAACACATTCAAAATATCACTCCCATCCAGGATGAGACTCGGCTGAAGAAACACTGATGAAAGCGGAGGACAAGGTTGAGGAAATTTTCAGGATATGGTGCACAGAGACCAGAAGTGGAGATTCGAGATACCTGGGGCCCAGAATGAAAAGGACAAACATCACATCTGCTAACAGTTGGAAGGAAAGGAGAGAAAATCACATCTAACAACAGTGCAGGAGATAAACCATTGAACCTTTACAGGCTTCAGGAAAGACCAGCTAAGGGGGAGGATGCATACCTTTGAAAATAAAATCTGTGTCCTGGCTGGTGTGTCTCAGCGGATTGATTGAGAGCCAGCTTGTGAACCAAAGAGCAACCAGTTCTATTCTCAGTCAGGGCACATGCCTGGGTTGCCTGCTGGGTCCCCAGGAAGGGGCTTATGAAAGAGACACACATATCAGTGTTTCTCTCCCTGTCACTCCATGTACTCCTGTGACAAATACACACCAGCATGGTGGCTCAAAGCAACCCAGATGTGTCCTTTCAGGGTCTGGAGATCGGGGGTACAAATGAGCTGAACTTCAGGTGTCTGCAGGGCCGCCTTCTCTCCTGGAGGCTCAAGGGAGCATCCCTCCATTGTCTTCCAGCATCTAGAGACCCCGCATTCTGTGACACAGGACCCTTTCTCCCTTGTCTTCAAAGCCAGTGGGTCCTTCTCAGGAGGCGTCACTGGGACACAGTGTCTGCTTCCTCCTCCACCTCTGAGGAGCTTATGATGCCCTTGAACTTTGTGAGTCACGCTGTCCTGGGGACGCATGTACAAGTGTCCACGTCCCTGCTGTCACTTCCCTGCATGGGAACCTGGGCTGGGGCTGCTGGACAGAGGGAGACTCCCTGCTCAGGTTCTGAGGAGCAGCCCTGCAGATGCCCTCAGAGGCTGCACCACTTTGTGTCCCCACCAGGGGGCCCCAGGGGCTCCCGCTCCTCCACAGCCTTGCCACACTCGCTGTTTTTAGGTTATTATGTTTAATTTACTCTTCAATTACAATAGACATACAATATCTTATTTCAAGTGTACAGCACAGGGGTTAGACATTTATATACCTTATGAAGTGATCACCCCAGGAAGTCTAGTGCCCACCATTTAAAAATGATTTCAGCAATACTCGTCCTGAGGAGTGTGAGGTGGTATCGCACTGTGGTTTTGGCCAAGAGCCTTCCCTGGACTTTAGATCCAAGTCAGCAGGGACCCAAGAGGACAGATGCAGGAGGCAGAGACCATTCCAGGAACAGAGGTGGGTGAGCAGGGGCCCAGAACAGGTGCAGTTCCACAGGTGACAGGTGTGGGCAAGACCAACGTCTTCAGCAGCACATGCCCGGTCCTCAGAAAGCAGGTGAGAATGCAGGGCTCCAGGAGGAGGAAGAGGGAGGCAGAGGCTGCAGGGACCTGGGGCCTGTCTGAGATCCGGGAGAGGAGGGAGACCCAGGCAGTAGTGGGGCAGGACTGTGAGTGGGTGAGGGTCAGGTCTGGAGCCAAACCCTGGAGGAGGAGATGGACCACACAGGAGGCCAGGTCCCCGCTGCTCCTGCACCCTTCCAAGAACAGAGTCCCGTGCACAGCGCAGCCTCACGAGGTGCACTGGGAAATTCACAAAACGTGGGTGGCTTTGGTCTTTTGGGCTCCAATGGGAACCTGGGGCACTGGGGAGGGTCCTCCTGGGGCCGGGAGTCTAATTTCTCTGGTGTCTGCTTTCTTGTCTCCAATCATGTGGTTGGTGTGGCCACCTGTGCCAGCTGTGCCCAGCCTCTGCCAGAATCACCACCAGGATCAGCAACACCACACAAGATAGGCCGATGCATACTGAGTTCCCCACTGTGTAATTCAGGGAGGCAGGGGCTGGAATCAGAGGACAGGGGGTCACTGACAAGCAGGTAAGACCTGGCCTAACCCAGCACCAACAAGACAAGAGCTCCTTCTCCACTGGACAGGACTTGTCCCTTTGACCACTCCCCCTGGGCACTCTCCCCTGGGGACTTAACATTTTGGGAGCTTGCTCCTGTGGGTAGGGAGGTGAGTTCAGGGGTTGTTTCAAGGAGTGAGAAAGAACAGATGTTTCTCCCCTGCACAGACCCTCCTTTCCCTGGGAGCATGCAGCCCCTGCCCTCCCCACCTCCAGGCCCCCAGGTCCACCCCCAGGCTTCACTACCAGCCACCTACAGGACCCCAGTGCAAGGCACAGCTGCAAACTCAGACTTGCTGAGGCGTCCAAGGAGAGTCTCCCCTCTCCCCTCTCACACACCCTAGGCTGAACAGCCCTCTTGCAGTTGAGGATCCGAGATCTCCCTGCCTGCTGAGTGTCCACCTTCCAAGAGAGAAGCAGGACCCCTCCCCACTGCCCACTCCCCAGCTGGGCCCCCAGGAGAGGGGGCCCAAGGCTGAGGTCCACTCCCCAGCCCAGGAGGGGCTCCTGTGAGGGGGAAGGAGAAGCCTTGAGCCCAGGTTCCTCCTCAACCTGTGCCTCTCAGCCTGGCCCTGCAGCTACCACAGCATCTACACTCAGCCTCTTTCTCTGCACCTCTCAGTACAGAGAACACCACCTGGACTCCCAGGAAAGGGGACAGATACGTGTGAGGACAGCACATTGGAATTCTTTCTGTCCACTTGTCTGAGAGGCAGAACACCCCTCAGAATGTCCTGTCACCCTGCATATATTAGCACAAAGGAGTTACACCCTGGTCCAGAGAGAAACAGAGTGGGTAGGAGCCATCTCAATTGGCCACATGGTCAGGAGGTCCTGAGGGATAACCCTACCTATCAGGACCACTGTGTCTCCCACAGTGCCCCAGGTCAGTGAGGGGTCATAGGTCAGGATAAACTGGGCATGCCCACTGACCCAGGGGAGTTTGAATCACAGCTGCATAAAGAGCAAAGGGGGAGACAATACCTGGCTTTGAAGGAAGAATTCCTCCCTCCTTGCCCCACTCCTTGAGCCAGACACTTAAACCCTGACTCCAGGATATCTCAGGAGCTGAACTCAGCCACACAACACATAGTCTCATCGCATAAAGCACCTTCTAGCCCTGGTCAGGGACCCCATGAACTACACGATTTACCTAGTGGTAGATGAACCACCCATAGGGGACACACTGCCTGGGGTCCCCAATGAGTCTGCCCAAGAGCACAAAAAAGGCTGAAAACCATTCTGAGCGAAAGGACCAATTGTCCCTTGAAGGCGGTCTGTCCCTGCAAGTACGCTCTTTTCCCAGTCCTGCAAGACAGCTCCTAGACCACCCCATGCTGGGGCTCGGTGTGCAGACCACCATGGTGTCCAGATGGGACCAACTTTGCAGGGCCCTGAGTCAGGTGTGAAGGCCAAGGGATAGGAGTGCAGAGGGGCAGCAGAACCACAGGGCTGGGGGCCAGCAGGAGGGCAGGGAGAGGAGAACAGAGGACAAGGGTGGGGACAGGGTGCAGGGACCTGGGGCAAACCTGAGGGTGGAGTGGAGCCATCCTCGCCTGCCATCCTCAGCTCCAGAGGCTCACTGAACTCAGACCAGCTGATCCCTTTACTGTAGAAGCAGAAATAACTCCTGGCCGTGACCTCACTCACTGCCTCGATGAGGAACCTGGCTTCTGCCCCCTGGGAGCCATGTTGAGAAGGGAGTTTCTCATCCCTATACGCAGATATATTCTCCTTCTCCACCAGACGGAATGTGTCAGCCCAGGCTGGGCCCCGGCACACGATGGTTGCAGGCCGACCCCGGCAGATCACAGGATCCAGTTCCGCGGTGATGGAGGGTTTGGGCAGGGCCCCTGGGAGAAAGCAGAGAGTTCTTGGGGTCCCAGAGAAGGAAGTGACCACACCTCACAGTCCCTCGTTTTCTGGGTTCATTTCCATGCTTGCAGCAAACTTGCAGAGCTGTGCAACCATCCCCACAACCCAAGTTAGAACACACCCCCATCCTTTCCCCAAACACCACCCCCCACACCCAGTCCAGGGGACTGTGAATCCTCATCACTGCAGAGTGATGCCCCTGAAACAGGACCCCGACTCCTGGACACATGTTGGGCTTTTCTCAGGATGACACGGGAGAGGTCAGAGTAGGCCAGGGTCCTGGGAACGTCTCTCTGCCCATGGCTACTTTCTAGGGAACAGAGACACTGGGCGGGAAGCAGAGGTGAGGATAAGGGGTCGTGTGTGGAGTGGGGAAGCAGGAGTCTGAGATGTGGGAGTGACCTGGGCCAAGACTGAAAGGCAGTTGGTGACATTGTGGGGACCAATGGAGGCTGTGGAGCTGTACTGGAAGTCAAGTTGGGGGTGAAGCTCCAACCAGATCTGGTCACATGACGCCAGTGGGTGGGGATTCCCAACTCCAGGGCAATCCTCTGAGCAGCACGCAGCTCTGTTCCCACTGAGTTCTCTACCTTCCTCGCAGCCTGTTCCCATTTCTAGTATTGAGGGCCCTGAAAACCCCATGTGTGCCAAGTGGCTGGGGAGGGTGGAAGAGAGGGCTCGTAGCCCTGAAACGGGAAGATGGTACCACAGCACATGATTCCCAATGGAAGCAAACACTGGCCAGGACTCCTCACTGGTCCACTGTCGCTCCCTCCCTCATTCTTTCATCCACATCCTAGTTCCTCTCCATCCGTCCAGAGGAGCTCCATGTGCCCATGTCCCCACAAACACGAGACTCACACCCAAGGAATTGCTTCCTTGTCTGGAGGGAAGATGGAGCACAGAGGCTGATGAAGGGATCATGCAAAACCAGAGCAACAGGTGGTGAGTGACAGGCACCCTGAGTGAATGTGGGAGTCTCAGGGCAGATGACTGACAACTGACCTCCTCTCAGAGTCAGAGGGAAGAGGAACTAAGCTGGGAACCAAAAGCCAATGGTGAGCACCCAAACCCTGTGAGAGGCTAGTCAGCCTGGGGGGAGGTCGGGTCTAGCAGGGCTACAGTGTTTGTGGAAGTGAAAGAAAGGTTGCATCTCCGCAGGTCAGTGGGTCACACAGCGTGAGAACAGACCCACCCAGACAGAGAGAGGGGCCTGGGTCTCATCCTATCTGAACAAAAGCTGTCAGAGGACTCTAAGGAATATTAATACTTTGCCAGAAAACAACATATATATAAAAGGCAGTTTAAAAAGGTAGACTTACTGTTCTGCATGTGGATGGTCTGGCCCAGGCAGAGCACTGGAAGAGAAGCTGTGGTGAGAAAAACACGCCCAGCACCCAGCCTCCTCCCGGGGCTGCACTCAGGGGACCTGATGGATGCCCCCAAGAATGTCCAGCTCCCTTGTCAGCATTCCCTCTGAGCACAGCCCTTCTTTTTCCTCTGAGTTTCAATAAAGCCCCAATCCCCTCTCCCAAACAGGTCCTCAGTCTGAAACTGTCCCCACACCCAGGTACCCACTTCTAGGACTTAGCCTTCCATGGTCTGACTTGGGTCAGGGCCAGAGTTGAGGGATCAGACTCCCGGGGGGACCCTGAGTCTCCTGGGCTGGAGTCAGGACTCAAAAGTGATGGAGAGGCCTCCCCAGGCTCCCACCCGCTCTGTCCGTGGACATTATCCCTCCATTCCAGCACTCACCGAGGACCAGGAGGGAGCTGAGATGGGGGTCCATGGTCAGCCCTGCAGCTGCACCGTCCTGGAGCTGCAGAGTGGAGGACAGAGCCTTTAGTCTGCACAGGGGATAGGAAGTGTAGGTGAGGGGTTTTCCCAGGGTTGTTACATCAACATCCTCATGCAAAGGAGAAGAGCTAATGCAAACAGCCCTCAGTGCAGGTTGGGCACATCATGTGAGAGAAACTGACAGAGACTGGTGGGAGCTGTGCCAGTGAGGCAGATGCCACCCGTGTGCGGGGCTTACTCAGCAGGAACAGGGTCACTAGGTGCCTGTCTGAAGGACCCCGGAGAGCTCTCTAGGGAATGATCTTCCTTCTGAAACTTCAGTCTCAGCTTCATGGTGACCTCAGGGTCCCCTGACGTTAAAGACAGGCTAGATTTTTAGATCAGCAAGTGGGGCCAGGACTTGTACTTTGGGAATCTCTCCTCTGTGCCTGTCTGGTGTTTTTGTTGGTTCGTTTTCCACGGTTTTCCCCGCACACGGAACTGATGAACGAGGAGATGAGGAAGTGTCTAGACAATTCCTGCATCCTTCCCACAACTCATTCTGCCCCCTGGCAGCCCGCCCCATCCCAAACCTGTGCTTTCTGTCTTCACTGAGAGTGAAAGCAAGGGGAGGTCAGTAAACACGTATTTATATGTATCATCCCTCCAGTTGCTGGATTATTTTTTACTAAAATAAGTATTTTTAATTTAAAATGAACTGGAAGCTCACAGTGAAGCAGAGGTCCCGGGACAGGTTTGGGGAAGGGGATATGATGGGCAGTTTCCACTTTTCTCCCCTTTAGCTTGGGGACTGTCCCCAGCTGCTTCCTTTTTCTTCCCAGCATCCATCATTTTTAGGAGGGAGTCTGGGAGCTGAGTTCCTACACTATTATTATGGGAATACAGCAGCATTGAGAGTTCAAGCTGTTGTGAGGTAAGCTTCAACTCTTCCATAGACGTGTGGTCTTTTCTTTTCTGAGGAGCTGTTGGTTCTCACATTGTGCTGCAGCCAACGCTGACTTTATGGGAATGTAAAGAGGGAAGTGGCTTTGAAATCACACCCCATGTGGTGTCCTGGAGCTCGGCACTGCCTGGGCTACATTCTGTGTGGCAGGGGAGAAATACGCTGACCCTGTGACCTCTCCTCTGGCTCATGGGCAACAGGCCCACTATGTCTCCCAAAACTTTATTCACCCAATTTGAAGACAAGAGCTAATAAAGAATATTAAAAATAAAATCTGCACTCTGGCTACAGTGGCTCAGTGCATTGTGCACTGCCTTGTGAACCAAAGGGTCACCAGTTCTGCTCTCAGTCAGGGCACAGGCCTGGGTGGTAGACCAGCTCTCCACCCAGGGAGTGTGTGAGAGGCCACCACACATTGACGTTTCTCTCCATCTCTTTCTACCTCCCTTCCCTTCTGTCTAAAAATAAATGAATTAAATCTTTAAAACACATAAAATAAAATAAAATCTGCATTTTGACCCTGATGGTAGATTCAGAAAATCAAGGCACATTTGAAAGGGTAAAGAGAACTTTTTCCTTGCCGGCCGTCTCTCAAGGTGATGCCAAGTTGAAAGGGAGAGGAGTGAGTGAGTGCCTGGCTCCCCAGCTGAGTGGGATTCTGTACCTACAGAGACACCCTACAAAGGGAGAGGGGAAATTGCAAGCATATATTGCATACAGGGTTAATGTCCAAAATATATAAAGAAATCATACAATTCAGTAACAAAAAGTACTGATTACAAAAGAGCACAGGAAGTCAATATTTTTCAAAAGATGACTTCCAAATGGCCAACAGACACATGAAATGATACTCAACATCACTAATCGTTGAGGAAAAGCAAATTAACACCACAATGCACTATCACCTTACACCTGTTGGAGGTGAGTAGTGTTGGTAAGGATGTGGAAATAAGGAAACACTCATGCACCATTAGTGGGAATGTAAATGAATGCAGTCACTTTGGAAAACAGTATGCAGGTTCCTCAAAAAATTAAAAATATAGACCAATTACAGCATTCAGCAATTGTACTTCTGGGTGTATATCCAAAGGAAATGAAAACAGGATACTCAGCATTTAAAACTACTGCCATGTTTATTGCAGCATTATTCATAATAGCCCAGCTATTGAATCCACCTACATGCCCCCCTATGTGTGAATAAGATACACACAGCCCTGGCTGGTGTGGCTCAGGACATTGAATGCCAGCCTGTGAAGCAGGGGGTCACTGGTTCGAGTCCCACTCAAGGTGCAAGCCTGGGTTATAGGCCAGCTCCCCAGTAGGGAGAGTGTGAGAGGCAGCCACATATTGATGTTTTTCTCTCCTTCTCTCTCCCTCATTGCCTCTCTCTCTAAAAATAAATAAATACAACTTAAAAAAAAAAAACATAAAGGAGGCAAAATAAGATCTTGTGTCTGCTTACCTACTTTTCACATATTATTTTTTTCATTCTGCAAACCAGAAACTAACAAAAAGACCCACCTACAATATGGAGAGGTACACAGGGAAGAAGAGAGAATCAAGTGGTCATCTGTGAGTGTATTATTTTTTGCAGCTCTAGCATCTGAAACCTGAAAATATTCTACATATCCAAGACATAAAGTCACAAAAGATAAAAAACACACTCTAACATAAATATAAACAAATAAAAATAAATATGAGCTTATTGATATTCAATCATGATAGCTACATGGTGAAACTAAAACAAAAAAAAGGGAACTCAATGAATTTCCTAGGAATTGGGTTTTCAAAAAAGGGACACAGGTACAACATAAACGAACCTGTAACCGGGTGGTTACAGGACCAGGTGGGAGATACCTGTGTGGATGGGCACGGTGTATCCTCCCTGATACTAAGTGGCCCATACAGAACAAAATCCTAGTAGCTGTGACTTCAAATAACCCCAGGTCACCTTTTCTAAATATTGTTCCCAGTGAAAGGGACCCTACACCTTGGGGGCCCCTGGTCCAGAGCAGGAGCACAGATGGGTGGGGGCTCCCTGTCAATCTACACAGTGCCACGGGGTCCAGCTAAGGACAGCGGATGTCTGAGAAAGCCCAGTGGGCTTTTTAGGTTATTATGTTTAATTTATTCTTCAATTAAAATAGACATACAATACCTTATTTCAAGTGTACAGCACAGGGGTTAGACATGTATATACCTTATGAAGTGATCACCCCAGGAAGTCTAGTGCCCACCATTTAAAAATAATTTTAACAATAGTTGTCCTGAGGAGTGTGAGGTGATGTCTCACTGTGGTTTTGGTCCATGTGCCTTCCCTGGACTTTAGATCCAAGTCAGCAGGGACCCAAGAGGACAGATGCAGGAGGCAGAGACCACTCCAGGAACAGAGGTGGGTGGCCAGGGGCCCAGAGCAGGTGCAATTCCACAGGTGACAGGTGTGGGCAAGACCAAAGTCTTCACAGCACATGCCCGGTCCTCAGAAAGCAGGTGAGAATGCAGGGCTCCAGGAGGAGGAAGAGGGAGGCAGAGGCTGCAGGGACCTGGGGCCTGTCTGAGATCCGGGAGAGGAGGAAAACCTGAGCAGGAGTGGGGCAGGACTGTGAGTGGGTGAGGGTCAGGTCTGGAGCCAAACCCTGGAGAAGGAACCAGACCACACAGGAGGCCTGGTCCCCGCTGCTCCTGCACACTTCCCAGGACAGAGTCCCGTGCACAGGGCAACCTCACCAACTTCACTGTGAAACTCACAGAATGGGTGAGGCTCTGGGTCTCTTGGGCCCCAGTGGGTGCCTGGGGCACTGGGTCGGGGGGTCCTCCTGGGGTCTGGAGTCTAATTTCTCTGGTGTTCACTTTCTTGTCTCCAGTCCTGTGGGGGGTGTGGCCACCTGTGCCAGCTGTGCCCAGCCTCTACCAGAATCACCACCAGGATCAGCAATACCACACCAGATAGGCCCATGCGAACATAGTTCCCCACAGTGTAATTCAAGGAGGTGGGGTCTGGAATCAGAGGACAGGGGGTCACTGACAGGCAGGCAAGACCTGGCCAAGTCCAGGACCTATGAGACAGGGGCTTCTACCCCATAGACAGGACTTGTCCCTTTGACCACTCCCCCTGGGCACTCTCTCTTGGGGACTTAACATTTTGGGAGCCTGCTCCTGTGGGTGGGGAGGTGAGTTCAGGGGTGGTTCCTGGGAGTGAGAAAGAACTAATGTTTCTCTCCCACACAGACCCTCCCTTCCCTGGGAAACCCCAGCCCCTGCACTCCCCACCTGATGACACCTGGGGGCTGCACCCCCCAGGGTTCACTACCAGCCACCTACAGGCCCCCCAGTGCAGGGCACAGCTGCAAACTCAGATTTGCTCAGGGATCCAGGATGAGTCTCCTCTCTTGACTCTCACACCCCCCAGGCTGAACAGACCTCTTCCTCTAGGGGGATGCAGTGTCCCTGCCTCCTGAGTGTCCACCTGCCAAGAGAGAAGAAGGACCCCTCCCCACTGCCACCCTACTGCCCACTTCCCAGCAGAGCCCCCAGGAGGAGATGCCCCAGGCTGAGGTTCCAACTTCCCAGCCCAGGAGGGGCTCCAGTATTGGGTAGGAGAAGCCCTGAGCCCAGCTTCCTCCTTGGCACATCCCTCTCAGCCTGGTCCTGCAGCTCCCACAGCGTCCACACCTGGCCTCTTTCTCTGCACCTCTCAATACAGAGGATTCCCCTTGGACTCCCAGGAAAGGGGACAGAGACACACGAGGACAACAGATTGGAATTCTCCGCGTCTGCTTCTCTGAGAGGCAGGACACCACTCAGAATGTCCTGTCATCCTGCATACATTAGCACAAAGGAGTTACACCCTGGTCCAGAGAGAAACAGGGTGGGTGGGAGCCACCTGACTTGGCCACATGGCCAGGAGGTCCTGAGAGATAACCCTACTTATCAGGGCCACTGTGTCTCCCACAGTGCCCCAGGTCAGTGAGGGGTCATAGGTTAGAATAAACTGGACATGCCCACTGACCCAGGGGACTCTGAGTCACAGCTGTATAAAGAGCAAAGGAAGGGACAATACCAGGTTTTAAAGGAAGAATTCCTCCCTCCTGGCCCCAGTCCCTAAGCCAGTCACTTAAACCCTGACCCCAGGACATCTCAGGAGTTGAAC